GCGCTTTTCTAGCCAAAAATTCAGATTTTATCATGTGTGCAAATAGTAAGAAATTGCTCTGGTCAGCAAGTGGTTAAAACTACCGCTAACATGGGAGGAAGCAACAGACCAGTAAACTCAAAAAGCAGAGTCCTGTACCTGTAGGTCACATTCCAGGCTACCCTTACATGTCCAGCCTGGGGGGGTTAGACAGTGCAAGTAATGGTATCAGTCAAAGAATCTTAGTCAGTTAGTAATAGTCAGTTAGACTCTTCAGCTCCAGTGTCAAAACTCCTGGGACAATAGCAAAAAAAAAAAACCTCTTGTAGGCAGCAGTATAGCCCGACTGTTTCTGAATTTCTGTGTCACTCATGGGACTAGAAAGAAAATAATTTTTTTTTTTTTTCCTACTAAAATAAATATGCAACTGCCACCATTTTATTCTACATGGTAAATACATAGAAGGGAATTTATCAAAACTGGAGCAGACAAAATCTGGAGCAGCTGAGTATGGCAATTAATCAGCATCTCTCTTTCATTTTCAAATCTTAACTGAACAAACTGAAGAGAGAAGCTGTTTGGTTGCCATGCACACCTGCTCCAGATTTTGTCTGCTCCAGAATGGTTTTTTTCTTTTCTTACCTCGCCGAGCGGTGCGTCACTGCTGCTCCGGTGGGCGGTGCTCCAGGTGGGGTCCTAATTTAGGTGGCCAGCAACTGCCTAGAGGATCCCACTCGGAGCGCCGCCCGCTGGGGCAGCAGTGACGCAACGCTTCTCTTCAGCTCAGCGCCGTCCTTCAGTGGCGGAGAGCAGCGGCGAGTCAGCGCTGGTCCGGTGGGAGGAGCTCCGGATGGGATCTTAATTTAGCTGGCCAGCACCTCTGGGCCAGAAAAAGTAGGACCCTACCTGGAGCTCCTCCCACCAGGACAGCGCTCATTTGTCGCTGCTCTCCCGAGTCCCGCACAGTGAGTGAGGGCAAGGAGGAGGGACGGGGCGGCTATTATCGTAAATCTATGGTCTCCAATGTATTAGCAGTGTGTACTCTACAGGTGAAACTCGAATAATTAGAATATCGTGCAAAAATAATTGCAGTAAGTGCTGCAAAAGGGGCCCAAACCAAGTACTGAGTACATATGCATGCTTGTACTTTTCAGAGGTCCGATATTGTTCTATGTACAATCCTTGTTTTATTGATTGCATGTAATAATCTACTTTTTTGAGGTTGTGGATTTGGGGTTCTTGGGGTTTTCATGAGCTGTAAGCCATAATCATCACAATTATGACAAATCAGGGCTTGAATTATCTTGCTTTGCATGTAATGAGTCTATCTCATATATTAGTTTCACCTTTTAAGTTGCATTAGTGAAATAAATGAACTTTGCACGATATTCTAAATATATATAGTATAGTATATGAAGTACATATAGAGTACACACTGCTAATACACTGGACACAATAGATTTACAATTATACTCTGCTAACATGAATGGATTCAATGATCCATATGTAGCCCTGTACTATGGATCATTGAATCCATTCATGTTAGCAGAGGAGAATTGTAAATCTATTGTTGCAGTGCACTCTATATGTACATGTACTATATACTACATATAGAATGCACTGCAACAATAGATTTACAATTATCCCCTGCTAATATGAATGGGTTAAATGATCCACAGTACATAATATGTAGTTGTACTACGGATCATTTAACCCATTCATGTTAGCAGTGCAGAATTGCATATCTATTGCTGCAGTGCATTCTATATGTAGTACCTATACAGTACACATTCCCAATTCACTGCAGCAATAGATTTACAATGATCCCCTGCTAACATGAATAGATTAAAGGATCCGTAGTACAACTGCATGTTATGTACTATGGATCATGATTTAACCTATTCATGTAAGCAAGGGATAATTGTAACTCTATTTTTTTTACTCTTTTCTTAAAGGGACAGGTCAAATTTGTTCTAAAGCAATACAAAATCATGATTTTAGGTCAGTTTCTTAATATTATGAAGAACATGAACATGAAATGAATATTTATCATGATAATATATATATATATATATATTATGTCACCGCAAGTGAAAGGGCTAAAAGCATTAGGTTTGCTTATGCCAGTGAATTATACGAGGTATTTTCACAGTGCAAAGTAAAGTTGAATAGTGCCCATCAGAAGATGCATGTTTCCTTTGAAAGACTGGCTCTGATTGAAACCTTCAGTAAATGCACAGCGAGAGGAGGAGAGAGAAGCATGAGTCATTGTTCTGACATATTCACATACGAGTGTACATTTCAGGTTGAGCTATGTAATACGTGCAGAGGAACCTAAAGCTCAACCTGTTGGCTGGATATGTAAAAGCAAAATATTTAATGTAATGTTTTATACCTACTCTTCAAAAAAATGACAACTGTTTTTTTTCCAATGCAGACTATAATAAAAGAGAATATGTTTAAAACCAATATGCATTCTCTTCAAGTTGTTAAGAAATGTAATAAAGTATATGTGTGTTCCTAATGCTGGCCTGTCACGGTACTACTGATGTGAGCCCACAGGTGAGCAGGTGACACAGGATCCCCCAGGGCGTGGAATCTAAGTGCCAGCCGGTGTTCTGCCAGGGACCCCCTCGCGGGAGTTTGGACTTAGCTGCATGCTGACCCCAGGTCACGACCCACTGGTTCACCCTGCTCGTGTGAAGATTACCAGAAGACACAGTGCAGACACGGATGGATGGAGCAAAAGGAGAGACGGATAACGAGCCAAGGTCAGGGCGGGCAGCAGACAAATGTAGTCAGGAGAACTAGCCGAGTCGGTACACAAGAAGTCAGGTTAGGAATAATTGCACGGAAGGGGCTCGGGAACAAATGTTGCTCAAGCAACCAGAAACTGGTCTGGGAGGGATTTAAATAGGGAGACATATGGGAGGCTGTACAGGAAGTAGCAGAAAGGACGGTATATTAACGATCAGGTGAAGCGGGCGACACCCATAGCTGCTAAGTCAGTGCAGCAAGAGCAGAGCACAAGCTTGTGGAACCACAGGTGCCAGCAGACCTACAGCAGCAAAAGGCTAAAAAACATATGCAAACAGTAAGACACAGATCAGCTCCGCAGCTGATCTGTGACATGGCCATACTACTATTAATGATAAACAACTATACGAATGATTCGATTTATACTTCGCTCATCAAGGATCGACCATACAGAAGTGACTTTGACAGAACAAAGGAAAAGATAGAGTTTGTCACATTTTCTGCCATGACCAATTGTTCCTTTACTATGAAAAGAATATTTTATTGATGGACCACTTATTTATTGAAAATGATTTGTTAAAATCATTTCCATGCAGTTTCTTTGAAAAATAGTTTTTATCTTTCTACATGGATAAAGTACTTGTGAAATACATTTGTAATATTCATAAATCAGACGACATTTCAAGAAAAAAAAAATTTATGAAATTAAAAAAATACACAGGAAAAAATATATATGTCTCACGTGTTTTATTTTAATTTCAAATCTATGTAAAAAAGAAAACATTCCAGTTACCATTACATGTTTTCTGGCCAAAACAAAACAAAAAAAACCACGCACACAAACATGAACTTTTATATGAATATAAAATGATTTTATGAAATAAGGTCGAAAAAAAATACAGCAAATAAAAAGTTACAGTTCACAAGTTAGTGCATGTCCACAACACACAGAAAAAACTGTAGCCTGGTCATAGATGTGGTGTTCTATGTACACAGCTGTTGATTAATGTGTAATTCTTAAGGGACGGTTCACACCATGTGTTGTGGCTTACTGCATCAAGGCAGCTCATTAATTTGTAATGTGCTGATTGTGGGGACACTCCAAGGAGTGTTGAATGCTGAAGAGACTGCGGGAGATAGGGGGTGGGAGCTGCCAGAAAGTAGAGCATACTACCTTTTCTATTGCAAGGGAGTCCCGATTTGATGTTTTGTAGTAACCTGACTTGAATGTCCCTATCTTAACCACAGTTTTACATGAAAGCATTTAAATATTCTTAAGAAGCAGTAATTAAGCTAAAACATTTCCGACTGACCTATCTAGCTGAAGACACTGTGGAGCAACTCATCCTTAAAGTTCACAAGAGATCCAGTAAAGATTCAAGTTGGGCCACTGCCTCTTGCTCTCTCCCAACTTCCTGTGTACCTGCTATGTTATTACATTACAGATTGGTAGGTGGCCAGGCAGCCAACTCACTGCAGGGATGGTTAAAAAACCCAAAACAAATCTCTCTTAGAACTATAGGATGATTTACTCCATGGTGCCTGCAACTAGATAGGTCACTGAGGGCTTTTTTTCAATCTATTTAGCATTTTTAATGCTTGCAAAGATGTTATTAGTTTATTGTCCATAGCCTAGCCATGATTCTACTTTAAAGTTGTTCTTGCTCAATTACTTAGTGCATTATTGACATTGAATAGGTAATAGACTCTGTTGGTTGCATGCTTATCTAGCCATTCACAAAAGGATGAAAATGACAGCCCCGTAGCTTCCAATAGTAACAACAAGTCACAAAGTAATTTCTTTATTGCTACCTAAATATGCACAGCAATGGAAAGATTGCATTTCAAGGATGGTAAATATAAAGAGTAAAACTCAAATACACTGCCATAGCTTATTTAGCAAATATTTGTAGATCTTGGTCCATTTCATATTTAAAGCAAAAATGAAAAGACAAAAAGTCCAAAGTGGACATTTTACTGTATGACAACAAAACTTTCACACTCTTAAAAATGCCAGTAAATTGTAAGGTAATGGTTAAAATGTGCATCTTGGTAGGTAAAATGTAGTACCATAATATTTACAACACAGTTCCCATTTGTAATTTCTGGATCACACTTTAGATTGAACAGGTCGTAACTTATCAGGCTTTACCTGTGTATATCAGCTGCAATCAATGGAGGAATACGTGCAGTAGATAAACACAGATACAGCAAAGATTTCATTACGACACTGTGCATGGGTGATATCTGGATTTCAAAGAAGCGGGACTATGAAGAGAACGGCATTTCTGTGCATATACAATAACATTTTCTCATTCGTGCAGTACTGTCTACTTAAAGAAACATACTGCCGCCGCCATGTGAGAATTTTGTATTCAGCTCTTGGGATTTCCGTAACAAAGCTTTCTTCTGAGCATCATCAAAGCGATTCACTTGCAAATCTTGTTCTCTGTCAAACGGTTGTCTCTCCTTCGTTTTATCTTTATCGTCTTCAGCTTTTCTTTTCAGTTTTTTCCGGTGAAGATCTAAGAGAGATTCTGATCTTTTTGTATCCTGATGGGAAAAAATATCAGTGTTAATGCATAACCTGGAGGTGCTGCCACTGTCAACTAGATACTGGCTTTCATTGTTTGCCCTGCTCTTGCTATGGAGAAAATAGCCAATGTTAATTCTTACAGTTCTTAGAACAAAGGAAGATTATTGGTCTTGGGCAGATTTCTGTCATTTTTGGTGTAAGACAAATGGGGGTGATTTCAACTAATCATAATATGAATAATAATAATATGAATAATAATAAATAATATCCGTATTATTTATTAACATCCACTTCTTACTGTTCGAGAGGAGCAGGTCAGCTAAAAAACACACACTATAAACTGTAGGTTTAAAATAATATATTGTAACAGGAATTTAAACACGCATAGCTTGAGTATTGATAAAGCGAATGGAACAGTAATAACAAGAACAAATCATTTAGAAAAGATTACTGCCACAGGAACACTAGTACAGCAATAGAAAACCAACAATATTAAATAACACTACTAAACCAGTGAAAACACTAACCCAACACCTCTACAACACAAGCATTATATTGTAAACTGGTGGGCATAACTTGTCAATTGAATGTACGGCTATTACCCATCCTGGAAGATTTATACAGGTTTTGGACTGTGGTTCCCAAAATGGCTTCCTCTCAGCTGGGCCTCGCACCCAAAATGGCTTCCTTCCTCTCAGGGCCTCTGCCTCTTTATTCTAACTAAACCCATTCACTATCATTAGAAATCCCTGATTGGTCCACAAAACTTAATCAGAGCTATCTCACGATAGTGATTGGATGGCAGCTCAAGTCCCTTTGATCGAATAACACCTAAGTTGTCCATAACCTGGCTGGCTCCATTTTGTCTAAGAAGGGTATATATATATGCATATTATCTTGTGTTCATTTCCTAAGCCAATGGATACTCCCAGAATACCACTTGGTGTAAGCCCAGTTGTACATTTTAACAGATCAAGGTGCCCATTGATCTCAAAGAGAACAAAGGGTTGAGATCTGCAGGGCATTTTAGCATGCTAACAAACTAATTCCTTTTATTTACACTAGTCTCAGAGAAGCCCAATTACAATTCTATTCACGTCTGTGGCAACCATATATACTTTTGGGTAATCATATTTCTTCCAATCTACTCATCATATATTATTATTAAATAGAATCATTTATTTTTATTTGAGCCTTTCAATTTCTTACATTGGGACGAAGCTGTTGCTTATTAAAATGTTTACATATCAATATTTATTTGCTTAAAAGTTCAAACTAATATTCTAAAATTCAACTATGTACCTATTTAATAGAAAAAAGGTTTGTTTGGGAACCATATATATTGATATTTAGGGGGCTCTCTTGAAACAGTTGAACCAGTTTTAATTATTAAATCTAAAATATGTGACAATTACAGTGCAATTTTATTGTAAGATTGTGGTAATTTTCAAAAAAACAACAAAAAAAACAACCCATAACACTCTTCCCTATACACTGTATGTCATGTCATAAGTCTTAGGCTTGGTTGAAATGTTTAAATCTGACATTAAGGTGAACATTTTATGCGATAAGAGAGTATAGACTAACACTGCTGCCAATGTAAAGTACCAATTGTAAAATGTAACCCTGTTTCGATGCAATAATATATAAATAAATATGTGACTGTGTGAAAGGAGGGGGTGTGGGGGAAGTCTGCAAAGTGGATAAAGATGGCAATAGTCCACCTCTGTAATGTTCACTAAAAAACAAAAGACCACGTATGAGGTCTCTTTAGATAATGAAAATTTTTTTTAAAAAAAAGGAAAAATGTATCCGATTCGAACTAATCGACTAATTGACAATACTTCCTCTTACCATTCCTCTTACAGGACAAAACAGCCATGGCACACAATATCAACATTAACTTACATTATAGGTGGATACTTTATCTGCCAGTCTTCTGTCTCTTTCTGATACTTGTGGCTTTTCTTCACCTTTATTACTGGAAACTTTGCCCTCCTGCTTCTCCTTAAAAAGTCAGAAATGTAGGTTAAGAGAACAACTGTACAGTACAGTGGCTTATTTGCCTAAGGACTATGAAACAGTTATTATAATAATAATAATAATAATAATAATAATGTGCACACCGTCTGGCCTTCCTGAATGAACATAAATCCTGTAGGGCATCTTCTAACAATGTCTATAATGTGATAGATGCTACAATGCATTAACAAGTCATTAAGTTAACAGTGCCTCATAATAAAGTTTTAAAAAGAAAGCTTAAGGCTGAACTTCAGGCAGATATAAAAAACACAATTTAATCCAGCTACAGTATTATTAAAAAAAAATAAAAAAAATCAGATTAATAATGTGCAAAAGTTGTTAGACTGGAAGTAAAGTCCTCAAATACTCACCTCTGCTCCTGTGATGCAATGTCACTGAGCTTTTTTGCAGCATCATACACACTGACATTTTCAAGATGTGGGGTCATCGGCTGTCTTGATTGGCCAGTGTGCTAGGACTTAAATTCAGCACATGTCCATGGGAGCTAGTTTATCCTGGCACATGCCAGAATTGTACAGGATTGCAGCTCAGTGTAAAGAAGTTTGCGGCGAGGAAGGCAAGAGACAGACACACAAGATTTAATTTGGAAAAAAAAAATACCTTCCTGCTCATATTTTGTATTGTAAGACCACGGTTAAGTTTTTAATGCCTATTTAAAGTTATAGGTCAGCTTTGTGCCAAATTACCAATACAATACCAGATGCACGTAATAAAACTTCAGAGATCGAGAAATACTTTTTTGTTATGTTGAATATCATTAGAGTTTAGAGAAGTCATTTAAGGTGACACTAAACTCAGGAGTTAAACCTTAAAAATACATTCACGTACCCTATTAACAAAAAGGTATCTTATTTGTGTATCAATAAACCTATTCTATTTACCTGATGAAGGGAACTCTTTGGTTCCATAACATTGCAATGGAAACGCTGCACCCTTTAGTAAATAAATAGGTTGGAGTGGAAGCTACATTGGAGTGCGAGTGACTTCTTATTGGTTTATTGTTATCTGTGGAGGCGTCTGCTGTCACTGCCGCACCCGCCCATTGCTTGGGGATATTTTTTTCCGGTCAGGAGTGCAATGGGACATTTTGGATTTTATTTGTGTATCACTCGGCGGTAGATCATCCAATCATCTCTGAATTCTTGCAGGACACTGTCCTTCCTTCTGGAGGGTGGCTACTTTTCTTCCCCATGGTCCCTTTGTGTGTTGTAATGTAGCCACCACTCTATGCTCACTCCTGTGATGGACTACAATCTCACATTTAGTTTATAAATTTGTATTGTGATTGAAGTCCATCATGGGAGTGAGCTTGGAGCCGTGACTACTTTACTACACACACAGGGACCATGGGAAACAAAAAGTAGCCACCCTCCAGAAGGAAGGACAGTGTCAGCACCACTTCAGAGATGATTTAAGGATCTACAGCTGAGTGATACCCAAATAAGATACATTGTTGTTAATAGTTAAAAGGTACTTGAATGCATTTTTAAGGTTGAACGCCTGAGTTTAGTGCCACTTTAATTCCAGCAAAGGGAAAACCTTATTCAATAAAGCAGAGCAAATAGCTCAGACTAGATTAGTTCACTTTAGTTTTGCAATTCTAAACGTTCAGATTTCAGTTTACTGTAATTAGAGAAGTGAAAGATTCCCAAATGATTGTTATGCATCTCTTCACATCCTCTTTGCTCTTTTGTTTGACTACCGTAATTCAAATCTGACGGTCTGTCGAAGGATGCCATACTTTAAACATTGTCTTTGCTCTTAGCATTGCTTTATTGGATCAGTTTGAATGTACATTTTCATTGCTCTTTGCATTGCTTTATTGGGTAAGTCTGAATCAAGACTTATGCATACTGATTTCTCATATCAAACTTAATTTTCCAAAAACCACTGGCAACTCAAGCAGTATTTTATTTTCAGTCCATCTTAATCTGAAAAAGAGTTTATTGAACATTTGTTCTCAGAAGCACTAATCACAGCTCTTGATTCTAATGAGCACTTGTCAGTCGGCTTCGTCTAAGGTTATATTTTGATACAGAAAGTCAGTTTCTTTCATTGAATCCAATTACATCAAAATACATGTGGATTCCTTGACTTCAATATGATGAAAAGAAGAGCATAGAATTTTTGCTTTGTGTTCTGTTGGAAAATAACTGCTGCTATCCATGCACCACAGCACTGTTAAAAGAGGGAACATTATTTTGTACCATTACAAAATGTATATATGCACTTGTACGGAGCATGTAGGTATTCTATTCCTAGTCTTTTTGCTGCAGGAATCGGATGGCTGTTTGATAAAATGTAGCTTGTTAGCTATACAGAGCATAGAAATGTATTAATAAAAAGAGAACATTTTTTTGGGGGGGATTATCATTATTTCTGAAAGCTGTGAGGGTGATTTTGCAGCACCAACAGAATCTCTTTCAGGAGTTCAATAGCTCAGCAACTGACCTTCAAGAACATTGGGAACCAGCTACAGAAACTACATGTTAACCAATACAGCTACAAATGATTACGGCACACCAGAGATCAAACCTTTCCTTCCCACAATACCCATTTCAACGTTCCTTAGAATGATGCCCTGTGCAGAGGATAGGTTATTGCTCACATCTTTCCTTTAAGATGTACTAGCTGACTCTTTGCATGGATGATTGGATTGAAGGTCTCAAACATGGCTGTCACTGACATATCAGGCCCACACTAATGATCGGTAACCAATCAGTGTGATGAAACGCCTCCGGAAGCAATGACCATTGCACGGCATCCAGGTGCTGCCGACTGAGATAGCCTATCTGCCAAACACCTATGCCCAGAATATAAAGGGGAGACAAGCTAGAATGAGAAGTTCTGCCTAAACAGAAACAGCACCTCTCTGCCGCAGAGAGACATTTGGTTCCTCTCTAGTGAAAGATGTGTCCGTGGCAAGATTCCACCAGCATTGAAGTCTCCTGCACTGATGAGGTGTCCTGTAGACCTCCCCAGTCCAACAGACTGATATCCGTAATGCAGAGCTTACAGGTGACCAAAGAAAAGGACCTCCCTAGTTCCAGAGTGGGATTCCGGAGACTGTATCTAGGGACAACCTGGCCCAGGTGCCAATGAAAAGCAGTCTGAGCAGGGCCTGGACTAACACCTTTTTGGAGCTGTATATGGGACTTTGTCGTTTGTTTTGCTTGACCGATTTGGTGCAGCGACGCATGGGGTTTCTCAGCTGCCATTGGGATGTGAGGGATTCCTTGTGTGTTTCTGTGCTTTTAAAGGAGGCCGGGCTTCCTCCTGACAAACCTGCACCCAATTTGAAATCTTCTGCCTCCATGTGCTCCAAGATGGAGACTCTCATAGTTTAGAGTTAGGACCGCACTATAAGAGGTGCCTTGGCGCGGCAGTGCGGCTTTCACATCCTCTGCAGAAGACGTGTATCCAAACCTCTGTTATTATCCTTAGTGGTGAGACAAGTTGTTTTACATGCTGGTTTGTGAGTGTGCCATGATGCCTTTCTACTGTTTTACTGTATATGGGACTGCCTCGATGGAGGCTACCAGCAATCCCAAAACTCACACGCAGAAGCAAGTAGCTGTGTTAAATCCAGGCTAGAAGCACAAATACTTAAGAACACAGAGAGCAATTCGCTAAAAGCATAGAGGGACTAGCACAGAAACAAGCACCTTGATAAACACCCAGGGTGCAGAGAAAGACCGAATTGCAGGACCCAATATGCTGGAGACTAACAAAGAACAAAGTAAATTGCTGGAGTGGTGGAGAAAAAGGAAATACAAGCACTAGGCATTGTCCCCACAGCCCAAATGATTCCCTAATGAAATGAGGCAGAGACAACCTGTTGTTAGGAGTTGATGCAGAACTTCTGGTCCAAATAAGCAGGAAAGGACTTGAGGGCCAAAAGGGTTAGATGCTCTACTTTTGATGTTTGGAAGATTGCAAACAAGTTAGCCAATAGTCCCAGAAAACTAGCACCTCAGCCAATAGCTGTCCGAACGTCCACAGCGCGAGCAGACCCTCTGAAAATGAGGGTGCTTCCTAATGCTGAAGAAGACTTAATTGAAAGCATGGTAAACTTAGATGTCTAAAGCTTGCAGACAGACCGTTGTCAGGCTGCATCTGGCTTCAGAGGCTGAGCCCTGTGAGTAACTAAAGAAAACTCTTCTGGGCCAGGGAGGGGTAATAAGCCTGTCAGAATCTTAGGCTTCTACTGCTGGGGTAGATGAGTACACCCACGCTGGGGACCCCTTTTTCCAGGGCATCTCTGAGGAGATCCTGTCCCACAAGATTCATGATCTCTGCTGTGTTTTTCAATGAACGGAAGAGAATATAGGAATATCTTCTTTGCTCCAGATGATAAAAATACTATGGGAGGGAATTTATCAAAACTGAAGCAGACAAAATCTAGAGCAGTTGCCATGGCAACCAACCGATCAGCTTCTATCTTCAGTTTGTTTAGTTAAGATTTTAAAATGAAAGCAAGAAGCTGCCATGAACAACTGCTCCAGTCTTGATAAATTCCCCTCTATATGTATTGGAATAGAGCGGTACAGTAATTAGCCAATTCTGGGTTCAGTTAGGATTAACTTTCATGCACTGCACATTCTCCAGGTGGTTCTCCTCCATCAACCACGTAAAACTCCTACTAGTAGGTTATATGGGTCCTGATTTCACTGATCTGTATTCATTTTAGGAGGTGACTGTTGTAGTGACTTTGATTTACAAAACATGGTTGCCCACAGCAACCAGATTCTTTGCCTTGCCGAGTGATGAAACCTATGGTTATGTGCAAAATGTTTTTACATTACCCCCATAAGGTTCAGATATCCAATGGAGCAGAGAATGAAATTGACTGATATAGTGTACTAAATGAAATAATGAATACTATATATTGCTAATAAAACAATAATTTGTTATACAGAACTTACTCTTGCTTTCCTCTCTTTGTCACCAGGGGTGTCTGTCCACTCAGACCGATCCCCAGTCTTTTCATTAGTTCTCCGCTTGAATGTTCTTGGGCCAAGTCCAAAGTTAGTTAGCTCTGGAGGCAGCTCGGTCATCCATGTCTCCCTGCTTGGGTTTATAGGGCCATCCTTTAAAGAAACATACAGTAAAGTTGAACCTACAAATGTTTAGCTAGAAATCAGAGACAAGTATCTTGTTACATCAAACTGATGTCTATGTGAGCAAGCTAGGGCTGCAACAAATTATTATTTTCATAATCGATTAGTTGGCTGATTATTTTTCCGATCGGATAAAACAAAAATATATGTCAACCATCCAAAAATACTATCCTTAAATGTAAAATAAAATACACAAATGCACTGTTACAAAGTTTACTTCAGAATAAAACTGCATGCACAATTTTTTCAATCGCACTGCAATGGAACGCATGGCATCACGGTACTGTGCATTCCAGCGCGAGGGCGATCACACTGTGGGTGGGAGGCGTTTTTGGGGTGCCATTGAATAGCACTGCAACACCCCCCGCAGCAGAATTTGTCAGGCCGAAACTGAAAATTACTTTTTCCCCATCATTATTTTAATTTTTTTTAAATAATTGTATTGTAAGCACATGGCGCTTGAATAGCTTCGGCCAGGGAATGACAGATGCCAGTGTCAAGATTCCGCAGACGACAGCTGAATGTAAATACAGCAGGTAGTGGGCTGGTGCAATAGCCAGCCTGCTATTGGCCATTTCAAATTGCAGTAGCCAATAGCCTGCTGGCTATTGCACCAGCCCACTGCTTGCTGTTCCCTTCTAGAATGGAGGAGCGAGCTAGGGGATCCAACCAACTAAACGATAATGAGAATAGTTGACAACTATTCTCATTATCGATTAGTTGGTTGCACTCCTAGAGCAAGCCATCAAAAGATCTGCTTGCTCAGTACCACTGAACGGTTTTTGCACTAGGATCATAATTTCTTTATTCATTTGCATGCAGTAACCATATGAAAAGGTGCAAGAATGGAATTCATCCTTTAATTCGGATGACTTTAGTAAAAGTATGACTGGCTGCTATCAGTAACAACATTTTGGTTGCATTTTAAATTGCATGTTGAATATGCCCTTATATAGACATTTTGTCATTAGCCTTAATCTCCAAATGGCATGGTTTTATTATAGACAATTATGTAGCAAATTGACAATATGGGGATCTCAAAACAGACCAATACGCTGTTCAGGATCTGGAGACAAGAGGTGTGCATCTTTGTCCTGGGGCAAGAGCTATCAGCTTTACTGAAGTTGTGAGGCAAACAGAAATATAACAAGTGGTGGTTGATTATATTAATATAAATATGGCAAAAGCAAATACAAAGGCTACAAGTAATGCACATTTTAAAGAAATCATATTATTTAGCCAGATTTTATTTGGTTAATACCTAATGGGGTGAGCATTCAGATAGTCTAGTGTCGATCTACTGAAAGGCTATTTAATGGTGACTCACATGAGGACCATGAACAGTTTGGGGCTGTTCAGCGGTTACAAGATGTGCCATCACTCATAGGTACAGTATTCATTAAAATCATGCTGTAATATAACAAAACTGTATAGTGGTCACTAAGGGCTCATTCAGATCTGGTGTGTTGTGTTAAAGCATGTGTGTTAAGGCAGCAACATTCAAATGAAACAGAATGTCCATGCACCATTTTTTGCAAGACAGCCCACCGTAATGCACTTTAGTGTTACCATGTATTGTGCGTTGGAGCTGTCTGGCTTTATTACGTTGTGGTGCCATTCAAAATGACACACTGCACCAGAAAAGGTGTTAATCCTATTTAACCCCTTCGTGACTGACGACGTACAGTGTACGTCGCCAGCATCGGGGCTGTTTAATATTTATATATTTAAGAAACAGGAAATATTAATCTCATATTGAGACACAGAAATCACTGAACTTACATCGTTTGCTGCGAGTTTCTGCTTCATCTTCCAAGCTCTGTGCTCAATATCTTGAGCAACAGTCGACTGAATAGGGCCTTTGGCAGGAAGTGGGCCGACAATTTCTTCATCATCATCATCCTCCTCCTCTTCACTGTCCTCAGACTAAAATCAAAACAAAAACTTCAAAACAAACTTCAGTCTAATGTGCTGAATTTAAGTCCAGTTATCACCCGCACAAAAAGTACATTATACAGAAAGGTGTTATGCATGTCTGAATGCATAATAAAAGGTGAACAGATGGGACAATAATTTACAGCACTACTTAGCTATTTTCCCCATGTAGGATTTTGCCATTATTGCTGCTACTTTGTGTATATCTACAGAGTTCTTGTTCATACAGAAGATTATTCAAAATGCTTGTTGTTCAGCAAGAACACTACTAAAGGAAAACTGTCATGAGAGAAATAGGTGGACCTCTACTTCAGAAAATGCTATTATTCCGATCATTATTTTCTAAGTCACAGACCAAGAACAAAGTATAAAGAAAGAATCTTGAATTTCAGCGACTTTCCATTTGCTGAGCATATGTTTTGGGTCAATGATTCCGAAATAGTGAAGTCAAATACAGTGTGACAGCTTCGGAAGAAAGCTACCAATAGCAGCCTGCCTAATTATATCATGATGGGTCTACTTTAAAGAGTCAGTCTACCTTAAAGTGATTGTTTAGTTATTGCTCACACCTGGATTTATATAAGTCTTGGATATTTCCATTAGTGAGAGCTCCCTGCCATAATTCTCAACTGTTCCCCTGACTACCAAGACGTGAGACTTTATAGACTGCAAGTGTCTTGCCCATATCTCTATAATGTACCAAAATGGTAATATATATATAGCCACTCATTTAGCTGTAAGAAAAATAATCTAGAAGTGGCATAGATTTCAAACAACTGCTAACTCAAAATGCAGGGTAAGCAGGTAACTCTTGCAGCAGTTGGGGTAAAAGTGCATGCATGTATAGTCAGAAAGTGATTGCACCAATTCAACCTGCATAAGTGTGTTAAAAAAAAAATTAGAAACATGTTTCTGTCCAAAAAAACAGCAAAAATAACGTTTGCCATTGAATATACAGGTAAAGTCCAAATGAGAGGAAGAACGTGGATGACACTTAGAAATAGAATACTGGTCCCAAATGTGGCCAAAAATAAAAAAGCTCACCCAATGTCAATGCCTTAGAAACTACTAGAAACTCTACTCCAAAATGCTTTTGGGGCTGGGACTAAATTGGCACCATTTGGTTGACTTGCTTGGTGGCACATACTCTTTAGCCACATACTTCTAGTATATTATTTACACTTTTCTGACAAAAGTTTAATGATGAACCAAAGAGGCGCTGCTTTCAAAGCAACCAGAAGGAACAACACGCTCCCAGTTTAAACTAATGTCGTTTATCTTCATGGCAACTAAAACAGACTACAGCAAAAGTGTGGATTTCCAATAGGGTGGACCTACTTGAGGTTAGATCCAGAGTATCCTGGATGATATCTAATGATTGAATCTTCTTCTCTTGAAAGGCAGGTTCCTACTGGATCCACATCATCTTCCCACAAACTTTAACTGCCACCTCTTGAATTTTTAAAATCTTAAGCAATTATTTTCCATTGGCCTTCATAGCCTAGTTAACTATCAGCCCCCCTAAAACACCTGGCTCATTGATACTATGTACACCCATGTTCCATTTACTGCAACGTGCACCAAAATCATGTGAATGCAGTATACATATTTAGCGATTTTCTGTATTCAACATTGTTAAAACTAGGGCTGTGAAAATTAAAGATTAATTTCTCGATTAATCGTTAAACTTTTTGATTGATTAAAATTATTTTGATGCTAATGAAAACACTCACCTCTCCGCCGGCTTCCGGGAGTCCCGTCGGCGATTTGGCGACGTCACTGCACTCCTCCCCCTTCCCCAAGTGGCTCCGTTGGCTAACGAAGGGAAGGCGGGAGGAGTCTGGTGACGTCAATGTCCGTTACGGCTAACGGAGGGAAGGGGGAGGAGTCCGGTGACGTCGATGTCCGTGACGTCGCCGGACTCCTCCCCCCTTCGTTAGCCGACGGAGCCACTTGGGCCGGTGAGTTTGCCCAAGAAACTTTCTGCACGAGCGCCAGCCAAGGCATTGGCCTATACACATACAGCACAGCAATGAAGTAATAACATGAACTAGGATCACACTAATCCAGCACGTTATTATTCTGAGTTGCCCCACTCAAGCGGCGGCCATATTGAGTGGGGCACGTGAGATTAATAACGTGCTGGATTACTGTGATCCTAGTTCATTTTATTACTTCATTGCTGTGCTGTATGTGTATAGGCCAATGTAGTTGGATCTGTATATGTGCATTATAATTAATCGAAATTAATCGATTTTAAAAAATTTTGATTAATCGAACACAAACATTTTAAACATTACCAGCCCTAGTTAAAACCTCAATAAACAATTATGGAATAGGACATATAGGTAAAGACCCAGAAGTAATGTTCTGAAGACTTACCATTCAAAAAGTCACAGCAACAGTAGACATGTTTACTATAAACCTAAGAAATTATTTTTAGGAGAAGAACCTTATAACGACTGTGATGAATGCTGGTGGAAATACTGTGTGGGGTTGCTCTGGTCCAGGGTCTGGGCAGTAAGCAGTGATGAAGACATATATACATTCTCATCAAGCACACTTTGATATAATGCATAATGTGAATCCATCTGTCCAAAAGCTGAAGTTGAACCAAAAATGAGTCTTGCAACGCAGTAATGATCTGAGGCACACTAAGAATGGCTCAAATCAAAGGAATAGAGGGTGATGGACTGCCCAAGTCAAAGCCCCAATTTGATTCCCTGTAAGAACTTGCCTGCTGCGGGCACAGCCAGCATGCCACGTCCACGAGCCTGCCTCTGCTTCGGGTCCCACGCTGTCGGGCATTGACCAGGGATGATAGCAGGGATCTTCCTGTTGCGAGCTCAGCTGTTGTGGAAGCTCAGCAGAGCTCAGTAGATCCTGTAATGCCCCTGGCACCCCCTGCTGCTGACAACAGTATATTGTTAGGGAAAGGTGCACAAACTGTGTATGCTGTGTGCAACACAGTGCATAATAATGAAGCCAATGCCTCCTCCTGTGACATCACAGAAGCACCTGTGCCTATAAATACCAACTTCCTCCACAAAATGGCGCTTGGTTATTGCAGAGCTTTGCTTCTAGTAGTCCCTAGCCTTCGTTACCTACCTCTCGTATGACTTCCTGGTATTTTGACCCTTGGCTTTGTTACTCAGCCTCGATTGTATTGCTGCCTGCCCTGATCTGCTATTACGTCCAGACTACGGACTTGCCTGCCGTTTTGGATACTCTGCCTATCTGTCCTGGTTGCCACTACTCTGAGGTGAGCGTATAACATTCCTGCTACTTGGATAGGAACACCTTAGGGTAGTGTGGCTACCTCGCATACAGACTCCTGCCTCTAACCCGCGGACATTCCCATTGAAATTTTGTAGGGGGCTCTTTAAACCAATAGCTCATGCAACGAAACACACAAACATCTTGCAGCTGAAGGAATTTTGCATGGCGAGATGGTCAGAAATTTCACTGAGTATGTCAGAGATTGGTGGACAGTTATACCAAATGCTTGCAAAGTAATTTCTGCTATATGGAGCCAATACCAGCTTTTGATGGCGGGGAAGTACTTACTTTTTCCACAGTACACCATTACAGCTATTGATATTTTTGTTGAATAAATGATTAAAAAGGCAAATGTATCTTGTGTTCTTATTTAAGTATATCACATTTATCTGTAGCCACTGTCTGAATAAAGATCTAATGTTTGAGTGTTTGAAATATTGGGTGTACCTAATTTCTCATACACATTTGCAATTTCTGATTTGGTGACAACAGTGATCAGGACACAAAGTGAAAAAAAATCTCACAGCAACAGTCTAACCAAAAAAAGAACAAATAAATCTATTTGATTGCTATGCAATACCTTCATTTACTACAGCGGTTTCCATACAAGCCATTTATGGCACCCCTACCTGCATTATCTATTACTTCCATTAGCATTGTTTAATTGTAAATTTATAGAATATGCAGCTGTCAACTATAACAAACCAACCAGTGAAAAATGTCCCCAAGAGGTACCATTGAGAAGATCGGTGAATATCTTTGTTTCATAAACGCAATTCAAAACCATAGTCTAAAGATAACTATATGAGCTGCATGAATTCTTTAAGAGACACATTTTAAATAAAATGACACACACAGGGCAGTCTACGGTCACTATTTTATATAACAGTAAAGAAATAAAGTTGCATGTCAAAGTATCTTTTGCAAAGTCTCTGGCACAATGGCTTCAGTTCCCTGTTGTTTTTGGAGCTGACGTATAGTTAATGAAGCATAACAGAGCTCCAAAATGTCTTGACAGCAGAATTAATTCCTTTTCTAAACCTGTACTGGGAATAGAGTTGACATATTTTGTCAGCTGGGATTTACCTTAAAATGGCTATGTGAAAGTTACTCAATAATAAGGTCTCTAAAAAAACTTTCAAGCTATTAAGTTATAGGGCATGTTTTCTCTTTACGGACCGCTATAATAAAGCTTTCCAATAAAGCAGTTATTACCTGTGCTGCTTCCAAAGTATTACACAATCCCAAAAACAACGAAACACACATTACAGATGTCAATGCACATTTATGCCCCTAAATCAGCTGTTTCAATCTACCAAAAAGCCCTGCGACACTAACTAAAGTTACCTCTCTCTCTCTCTCTGCCTGAGATATCTTACAATCGGTCAAGTGGAGCAGAAATGCAGCAGAAGTGGGTATACAGGGACTGTGACAGTAACAGATTGAAAAGAAAATAGCTGAGAAGGTCTGTGTACTTTTACCATTATTCTTACAGCAAAACATTGTATTCTGTTTACCTAGTTTTCTACTCTTTCTAGGTTTCTAGGGTGGAGCTTCCTCCCGCAGATCTCTCACCTCTATCATTGGCAATTATCTGCTGCCAACATTCAGCATAGAGGAAGCACCATACCAGTGCTGCTTCTGAAGCACCATGTAGATCTCTGGTTCCATTCCAATGCTTCCCTACAGTGACTCAGCCTCTTAAAACCCTTTGTAGCACCAGCTGCCTGGGTTTGTTGGTCCTTGATGCCTTGCCTCACTTTAGGCCTAGTTGCTTACCACAATGCGGGGCAACAGGTCTTCTCAAAAACACAGAGAACAGTGCTGCTGCTAAGGGTAACTTCAGACCATACTCTCCTAATGGATCTAGTATGTACTCCCTATCCCTAGATGGAACAGACACCCGATATCTGAAAACTTCCTCCCCAGCTGTTTGTGCTCAGCTACTGGATCATTCTGTTTATAGGGGTTCTAGGAATGCTCCAACTCCATTCCTGGCAAAGTGTATTTTTGACCCTCCTGAGACCATGAGTCAAACAAGGTCTACTGCCCCTATTGAGAATCCTGATTCATAATTCCCACAGACAGGAGAGGTTGTTTTTGGGTCACAACAGTCTCCTGAAGTTGACTTTGTTATACAAGGGGTTGGGTCAAACCTTATGTATCATCATGCATTTGGAAGATCAGCCTGCTGTTATAGACCTTGGATATTTTAGTGTTCCTATTGCTGTTAATATCTTGCCACTGCACCTGCTGTTTGAGGACTTCCTCTATTCAGACTGAAAACACCCTAAAGGGTCCTGGGCCCCACCCAATTGTTGGTCTGTTCCTAGAGACCAACCATAACAGGAAGACCATTACGCAGGTTAAGGGGGGTGTGCTCACCTTTCAGAATTCCGCGGACAGGCAGCTACAGTCCATCCTAAATTCTGTTTGCGTTAACATGCCCTGACGTCCCACGTTAGCAGTAACTTTAGTTTGTCAAACTGTGCCAGAATGGGTAGATTCCCTCAATAGTGATTCCACCACAGCTGGGATAGGCCTCCGTTTCTAAAAGCAGCTCGAGCAGGTGCCAGAGCATTTCCGCTTTGAGAAGGGATTCACTTATAGGTGGCCCATTCCCAATGTGGACGCTTCAGTGATCCACGGTAACACCATAAGGGTTGAAGGTATACTTACCTTTCAGAACTTCACTGAATTTGAATTCCCTCCATACATCCAAGTTTTAGCTGATTGATTTGGCCGTCTGTTCTGTGTTGGCAGTAACTCTGATCTGTCAAAGCATGTCAAAATGAATTAAACTCATTAGAGGATCTTTCCACTGCTGTGGTGTCTGTAGCCTTGTGCTTTAGTTGTAATGGTTTATAACAAGCCTCTGTCGATTCAACTTCAGTTGATACTACTTCCCTTCGAGGGACATCGTCTCTTTGGACTGGCTCTTGAGGAGCTTAGGAATGCGACAGGTGGCAACAGTATGCTCCTACCGAAGCGCAGGAGATCTGTAGAAGGGTTTAGAGGAGCCCTGTCCCTCTACCACATCTGCAATGGCACTGCGTTTCCACAAATCCTCTGGGTCTAACTCCTGCTTGGACCATAGGTCCAGAATATGGAGATGTACTTATGCCACTGGAAAACCTTCAGCATGAAGGTTCACCCCTACTTTATCTTTTTGAATCTTTTTTTCACAGTGGGATCCTGGGAAACAGATGGCCCCAAAATCAAGCATACATGCACCTTGCATAATATTGTAGCATGTCCTCTCCAGGACTGGGATCCTCAGCTTTTCCTGGATCCTGCAGTGAGGCCAAGTGACGCCACATGTACCTAGAAGAAGCAGCCAGAAGCCTGGGTGCAAGGTAAGGATTTTAACATTTTTCTTACAATGTTTTATCCTCAACTTACTTTCAGCTGACATTTTTATTTAGGGGGTAGGGCTTGCAAAGCTCAATTTACTAGAGCTGCATGAACTGGACACTTCGTTTTTGGTACACAAAGGCTAGCCAATTTTGTAGATTCCTTTAATTGTGAAACGATTATAATATATTCTGCTCCGTTGGTTGCGCTATAATTCTCCAGAAGTCACTTTAATGCCTCATTCACTCCAAAAGCCCAGAAGCTGCCACCATCATAATTTAGTGATGCCACTCCAACCTGCCCCTGGCTGGGTCTAGAGAGGATGCTTTTGCCAACAAACTCTTGCCAAATGACTTTTCATGCTTATAGACAGCTGCAATCTACTAGAGCTGGAGACAGTAGTAGACTGCTGATGCAACAACTTTTCTCCAAAGTCTCACTAAAATGTAAGTTTTTCTTCAAAAACTGACATGCAAATGTACTTTAGAGGAAATAAACACTTTTTTAACATAGATGTAAGAGGTCTGCTTAATGTAAGCATAATCCCCTAACAAAAACCACTTCCTGCAGGAGTTTTGCATAACTGCCCAGCAGTGTCTGGAATCCAGGCACAAATGCTTCAGTTGCAAAACTTTTCCGGGCTTCGCTGCATGAACTGGCTGTTTTAAATTCCACTACAAAATTTCAATAGGTTTCAAATCAAAGCTTTGCATAGGGCAGTCTATAACCCTCCATTATTTTTGAGCAAGTCCTTAGTAGATTTTTCTAGTGCGCTTCTGAACATATTGTGTTTCTGGTTCAACTTCAAGAAAATGGCCTCACGTTCTCAACAAGCACACCTTTATATGATGCAGAATGTATAGTTGCCTTGATGGCTATAAGCTGTCCAGGCCCTAAAGCAAGGCAACCTGAAACCAAGTGATATTTCTTTGCAACTGGGTACGTTTTGTACATTAATTCAGGAGTCCATTTGTCAGTTTCAAGAGCGACAGGAAAAAAATCTGAAATTATGTTTTTGAAACAATACATATAACTGGCTTAGTTACAAGTCTCGAAAAAAGTGGAGTCACACTTTAGTTTTACAAGGAATTGGAATACTCCATGTAACTTCTGTTTTCTTTGCATCAGTCCAAAAGAAAGGCTTATATAACATTAGACAATAAAAGGTAGAACACAAAAAAGATCACGTTAAAAAAAACCCTTGCAGTTGAGATGTTCTGTGTTCATCGACTAAGAATTAACCCCCCCTTCCCCAACACCTCCTTCCAACCATATAACAGCTGTGTGAGAAATAAATACTAAATCATACTTTAATTAAAAGGGCATTTTATCCATTTCATTAGTCACTATACCAAAATGGATACATTTAACAAAATACTTTTAGCTGCAACTAGAAAACTGTTAATTGCAGGAGGTTATATCCCCCATACACAGTCACGAAACATTATACAGTGAACTCCCCATTTTTAAGCAACCGGCACTCTTAAGCAACCTGCAAAAAAAATAAGAGGACTTATTTTTTTGCCAGTGGCTTGATGTGCATTAAAAAGCTGTTTGTTGCTTGGTGCACACTAAAACAAAAAAAAAACAAAAAATGTAGTTGCTAACAAAATTAGTTGTTTACATTTTGCTGCGGGCCGGTGACTAGATTCTGTGGTCGGCAGAAGAATGTAAACGATAGGGGAGAAATAGCCAACCTGCTATTGGCTATTTCAAATTGCAATAGCAGGCTGGCTATTGTGCCTGCCCACTGAGCAGAGGAGAATTTTGTCTCTCAGCTGCGCTCCTCTGCTCAGTAGGTGGGGTTTCAATAGCCAGCCTGCTACTTGAAATAGCCAATGGCTGGCTGGCTATTGAAACCCCGCCCACCAAGCCGAGGATCAGATCATGGAAAATAACTCTCTCTCTCTCTCTGGCCACTGCTCTGCTTGGTGGGCAGGGTTTCAATAGCCAGCCTGCTATTGGCTATTTCAAATTGCAATAGCAGGCTGGCTATTGTTCAAGCCCACTGAGCAGAGGACCTGAGAGAGAACTTTCTCTCTCAGGGCCGCTCCTCTGCTCAGTGGGCGGGGCTTCAATAGCCAGCCTGCTATTGCAATTAGAATTAGGCAATAGCAGGCTGGATATTGCTCCTGTCTGCTTTGTATGCTAGCCGGCAGGTGAATGGGGCTGCGGGGGAGGTTGGTTGCATGAGAGTTACTATTAACTCTTAAGCCCCGTTCACATATAGCGACATACCTTTTGCAGCGGATCCGCACGGCCGGGATAGCGCGACTTTCGGGGCGACGTTCCAGCGACGATCCAGCGACGGTAGCGCGACCTTCCCCGTCGGGCTCCATAGAAAAAAAGTAAAATCGCGCAAAATCCGCCGAAAAAAGGGTCCGGTAGAAGCGACTTGCGACCGCGACGAGCGACATGGAGTTAAGACAGCTCCATTGAATAACATTGGCCGGCGACTTCTCGCGATATCGCGCGGCAAAAATGCGCGATATCGCGGCGGAAATCGCGCGACAATTCGCTATATGTGAACGGGGCCTTAGGCAACCAGAAACGGCAGTTATCTGGCACCTACCAATCCCCATCGGTGCTGGATAACTGGGAGTTTACTTGTAATAAGTTTATTATGACACTGAATTCTCACCTTATACTTGGTGTCTGCAGATCCGTTAGAATGTGAATCGTCCTCAGTATCTGAATCTGGTTTTTTGAAGCCAGGTGGTAGGGCAGGACCTATAACAGGCCTAAAGCAAACAAATTCTATTAGTCATGCCAGAAAACTAAACATACTGTAAAAGAAAATAGCTAAAATGTTTCTGGGTAGTTCAGGCAGCACAGAAATGTCCCACTGAAACATCAACAAAACTATTAAAACATCAATTCAGGCAATAATTATATGTAAACCGCCTTTTGCAGGAATTCTGTCAGCAAAACAAGGCAGGTGGAAAAGCAAGGCACAAAGAATAAAAGAAGCAACTACTTATGGTCCCTGTTGTAAAGCAAATCCGTTACTTTGGCCAATATGGGCAAACCCGTACCCCTACTTTCTTGTGCTGGTGTCACAGGGACAGATTGTGAGGCAGACTCTGCCCACCTGGGACAAAGACCACAAAAAGGACCTCATTCTAACTCTTCCTGACCCAAACCTAAAAATCAAGGAGTCGAGCTTTAAATGAGACCTACACTCAGACAACCATTGCCTTCAAACAGTGCGGGACATGCAAGTTGTGAATGATATAGCACTTATGGCGGGAATTCTGCCTAGGCACCACAGCAGAACAAAGCTTACTGTTCAAAAACCCTGCTTTCTGATGACACTATCGATGTAACCTAGTAATCAAACAGTAGTGTGTGGAACATATCAAATCAGCCTCCTAACAGGCCTCTGCAAGCCTGCAATAAAATAATGTGCCCAGGTAAGATCACAAGTGCAAAAGTGGTCTGCTGCATCTACAGGAATTATAATCACAAAGGGTACATTTTTGGGCTGATTTGAGTAACCACAATAAACGGTGCTAATAAATCCTACATAGAAAGCCAGACTTTATACTGCAAATATATCTTCATTTTAAAATGACTCATGCCATCATTTTTCTATCCGAATGGGCAGTCTCTGTGCATTGAGGATGTTGTACATTTTTTATTGCACCCTCTCTCCTATTACATGTCTCTATCAATCTCTAGATTTCAGCTATAAAAGTTCTGCAAAAACCACAATTACCTTCAAAAGTCTGATTAGAAGCCTCTGTGTTCTGCCTGCCAAACACTCACGAATCCAGAAAACAAATGAATGCTGATCAGGTCAGCACAAACAAATCAAGAGAAATACCAAGAACAAATGCAGGTTTGCAGGACGTTTTGTGGGTTACAAATTAATATATTTTGTAATATGGTTAAAACAATTTTTCTCCCTGATTTTCTAAGGCCTGGTTCACACCTGGGCGTTTTACAGCGCGTTCCTACACGTTCCCACACGCTGCAAAACGCTCAACATGTGAAAACCAATGATTGCCTATGGGCATGGTTCCCACCTGGGCGTTTTACAGCGCGTAGGAACGCGCTGCAAATTGCCCTACGCCCAAAGAAGTACAGGAGCCCCTTTGGGGCGTTTTGCCGCGCGTTGCCATTGGTATTCCCGAGTGTGGATCGGGGTTAACAAAGCGGTAACCCCGGGCCACACTCGGAAATACAGCGTACCTTGTCCGCAATCCCCGCGGCTGCCGACTTCCGTCCCTTGCGAGCGGCCGCGTCGCAAGGGGGAGGAGCCGGCGGGAAGTTTAAAATAAAGGAAAAAAATAAATTAAAAAAATCATACTGCCAGTGAAATGCGCGTTTCACTGAACGAAAAAAAAAACCTCAAAAGCGAGCATAAAAAACCCGCTCAGGTGTGAACCCAGCCTTAAGGGATGTAAGCTACTGTATGTAAACAGGCAACACCTATTAGAAAATGATGTTACAGGGACACCATGTAGAAGCACAGAAATGTCACCACAACTGGCTCGCCATTATAACCAACACCTACAGCTTCATTCTTTTGTGGAACAGTCTCAAGAGATAACCCTACTCTAGTACACAAAAAAAGTGAATCCCTAAGTTGATAGAGCACATTTATGAAACTTGGATTTGGACTGACAAGACAGCAATAATTACTACACAGCCTTACAACAGATGGATGCATAGGAAAAGCTCGACCATCTGTCTAACACATCAATAATTTGCAGGTTCAGCGGACATTACTTTTCATTATTAGGACAGCACAAAATTCTGCATTAAATTAACTCTTTTTTGGAAAAGGCAGTATACCTGTCAGGGGAGTCTGACTGTTTCTTATAACCTGGAGGGAGAGCGGGGCCAAAAAAATCATCCTCATCCTCCTCTGAAGTCTTTCCAATTTTTCTGGAATAGAAGAGAAAACAAACCACAATAAAACATCATACAAGCCCTATTAAAAAAGACTGCTAACACCATGGGTCTGTGGACAGCGTGGCATATCTGCGAGAAGAATTTTGTATTATATGTACTGACACTTGTTTTCCCGATAATACGCATATGTGATTTTATTTTTTGCCCATATACACTTAGATCTAAGAGTTAGTTAATGTGAGATTAAATAACTCTGGGGAAAATTATTAACCATTGCAATAGGGCTACCCCCGCACTGCAAGGGTTAAGTGCTCATTATGGTCTAGGAAGGAAAAATAACAAAGCTATACTCACCTGATCCTATGAGCCAGCTTTCTCTTAGACCGGTCCCTGGAGCCTCTTTCCCCCTCCGTTGCAGTGGTCTAAGGAGCGTAAATCATCACATACAATACACTATGTACGTGACGTGGGGACACCGAGGGACATTAAGTACCATCGCTGGAGGGGAGAAGGAGACAGCATGGAGGGAGCGCTGTCACAGCCGGTCGGCTCGTAGGACAGTATCACTTTGTTATTTTCCTCCCTTGACCAAAATAAGCAGTTAGGGCAGGTTTACACCATTCTCTGCAAAATTGTGTGAACCTGCCCTCAGTTCTAGTGCATTCCAGACCAGACCAGACAAAATGAGACGTGCAGTATTTTTCTGGTCTGGAACGGACTGTGCTGGTGTGGACAGAGGCCAGAACTATCATAGGGATACATTAGGATACATTTTGGGTCTGGAAACAATCGGGTCTGAAGATTATCTGGAGGTAATGTGAATGGGCCCTTAACCTTTTCAGTGCAGGAGTTACCCCACTGATGGGGTAATAATTATCACAGTATGAGTAAAACAAATCAAACTGGGAGTTCCTTAGTAATTCAAATCTTCCCTCTATACTGCTACTTGAGAGTCCAAAACATAATAAACAGCCTAGAGAAAAAAGGAGCAGCTCATTAAAAATAAAGATCTGTGGGCTTTGTCAAGTGTAGGTGAGGTGTTGTAAATAATTGCCAAATTTCCTCTTAATAAAGTTGTATCATGTAGACGGATTTGTATTACATACTGTTTAGTCCTGATTAACCACTTTGGTGCTGCCTATCGTTAATGAGCTGCTCCTTTTTTCACTAGGTTAATAATTGTCCCCGGATTTCTGCTTTAACTGTTCTTGCACATTGCCCGCAGCCTGCCATACACGCTTCTTCAATTGCAAGCTGTCTATAGGATCTGCCCTGATCCTGCAGACCTGATAAGCAGCTCAACAGCCAACTGAAGGGACATGCACAACAGGCTGACAACACTGCTGCTTATTGTGAGGCACTGGCTTATCGTTGTCAGCCTGCAACAGAAAGTATACTGGCAAGACCTCCAAGTAAAAAGCTTTGCAACAGATTCACACAAAAAAATTCACCTTAAGGGTTAAGAGTCAGGGTTAGGTTAAGTGCTGACATGCTACTGTCATGGAAGAGGGCTAAGCAGCTATGGTCGGCTATATCAGCAAATACTTTGTCATTACCCTCCAGCGGCAGACTTAAGAAATGTGCCATGAATATATGACATTAGAGCTTTCCATAATTCAGAGGTTGTTTGCTCTTCAAGCTGACCTGTTTTTGGAATCATTTCTGTCCTTTCCAGTAGATTGTCTCTTGTTATGCCTGTGGCTGGAAGAAGTCTCCTTTTCCCCGTCTTCTGATGAATCCGAGCTGTGGCTGTACTTGTAGCCGGGGGGCAATACGGGACCTGCAACTATACACAATAATTCACTTTAGAATGTAAGCAGGCACATACAGTCTTATTCAAGTCTGAAAGATTATTCCCAAATGCCATGGCTGTCAGGAAACTTGACCTAGCAAAATGGAAGTTTTCCCATGCTTACTGTGGTTTTGGCTGTATCTTGGCATTCTCCAAAAGGGAACACAACACTGGTGCTGTGCCAATGCTATAATAACACCAGGAAGCTTATGCAGGAGTGCGGCACTCCACGAGCATACTGAGCAAAACATGACATTAATCAGTGAAGAGACGCATAAAATAGGCCACACAGAAGACATGATAAATAACATTTAAATGGCACAATGAAAAGGAGTGGGGAGATGATGTGCTATAAATAATAAATATGTCACGCAGTTTAAGTAATTTGGTAATTGTATACATAAAAATTCACAGGCACAGCTTAAAATTTTTTTTTATAAACTCACTGGGTACCATGTATGAGCCCTGGGTCCTAAACCTTTTAAAATATTTGTCCAGACACGGCCTTTGGACTATCATTTTAACACAAGACCCATAAATGTGAAATGTTCTTTATTATTTTAGTACAAGAAACAAATCAGCACATGTATCATACTCATAATAGGCTTCTAAGCTGTCCAGTCGGGAGTTTATTCTAGGTTGGCATTAACTAAAGAAGCTAAAGACTGGTGCGTTATTTCACAAATCAAATCCAGGTCAAGGAGATCCCCGCTGAGAGTGTCTGCGAGATGCCTGAAGATGAATAACCAATAAAAAGGAATAGCTTTTGGGTAGAGACTTCACTCTGTCATACACTCCTGAGTCCTTGTTCTCATTGACAGCTTGTCTACACCACAGGGACACTTCACAGTCTGCCACCGGTAGTGCAGTTACAAATATTCATTACGTGCATGGCACAAAGCCTGGAAACATCTGTTCTATACGTCCATAAGATGCCAAAATATCCGATATCCAGCTAGACTGCGGAAGTCATTTACTCCCCCTGACAGATACAATAAGTACAGTGTTCTCATAAGTCAGCAATTATCAATCTGTTGATCCATTAAAAAAAACGTTGTGTTCCACAGTGACCAGAATCCTAGTGTTATTTATGTAGTGCTGGATAGAGAACGCAGGAGATTTGGATTGATAGTTTTCTATGGGCAACGACATCATTTCTCCTACATTCATCAATGTCACAGCCCTCGGACTGCTAAAGTCACAAATAACGTAAAATCCATACAGTAATTTTCATATTGTTAGATTGGTTAAAAACTACTGATCACAAGATCTGCACTGGACATGGGCAATCTGCACGGATTAGGTGAAGGAACCGGGTCTAGCCTTCCAGCTCTAACTTAAAGTGATATTACAGTCAAAATGTTTTAAAGCTATTTTAAATGCTGATTAAATCCCTTACAATGGATGCTGTTCCTTGATGTTTAAAAAACTCAGTTGACTGCAGAATCAGCTCATCTCCTGAGCACTGGCCCTGATGTCCTGTTTTACGGTGGCTCCTTTCCCTTGTAGGGTCCTATGGAGACACCCTTGTGAGTGCTAATAAGCTGTGTGCCCGCACAAACACAGCAAGGTAGGACACAAACACCCCCCGTTACCCATGTTCTCCACTCCACCTTCCTCTAAGCTACTATACAGATGGCTGCTGGGGACTGCTCTGTCCCTTGTGATTTTTTAACGGACAGGAAATGCAGGGAAGCAGAAGTTGTTGCCAACTGTTCAAAAACATAAACTAAGTGTTGAGACGAAAATGTAAAAACAAAAAAACTGTGCAGAACAATGTATATTTGTTTGATCTGGATTCATTATTGAAAAGGATCAGAGATATCAGGGAATTCAATCTGTGTATAGTTCTGTATTAGGCACATGTAGGCAATGAGAAGTTGGAAGGTTCTCTTAGCATTTTTTAAAACTACATAGACAACCATTATAAAAGGCTAGGTGCCTGGCCAGAAAAAGCATGCAGCTAGCGAAGCGGGAGAAACATCAGAACTAGGGATGTTCAGATACCAGTGCAGATACTTGGCATTTTCACGAGCACTACCAGGGTTGCAGCTGGGACCTGGCTCCCCACCACTCTCCTGAAATCATTGGTCTGTATTGTTTTAGAAAAACTGTCACATGAAATAAACAAAAATGTATCAGTACTTGTACCTGTGAGGCAAGTATCAGTACTTGGAAAAATGATTTCGGTGCATCCCGAATAAATAGTTATAAAAAAGAAATATATAATGCATTTAAATGGGGATATACAAATCCCAGGAGCTCTGTGTGCTCCTTACAAATGACAGCTGCCTCCTAACTTTTGAATTTGTCTCTAGTCTAGTCCTGGAGCTGGAAAAGTATCTGTACTTGTATTTGTACTTGTACCAAGTACGGTACTTGGTATCTGAAAATCCCTAATCAGAATCAGTGTGCTCTCTGGGCAGCTTAACAACACCTGCTAGCTCCAATCGTGCAAATTCAATCAACATCTTACCTCTGCGAGGTCTTTGACTCCATGCTAGTTATGATAAACAGATTATGTTGATTGGATCAACATTCACCATATTAATCCCATGCAAAATTTGGGACAACTCGTTCTGAATTGGGAAGGCTAGTTGGATGACCAGCAAACCCTCTTCAAGAAGAATACAGCAAGTCCAGTTGCTTCAGTATATATTTTTTACAGATATTGTTTTTGGATTATTTAAGACTGACTTTTGAATAGTAGTGATGAACCCTGGATTTCATGCAGGTGCACAAATAAACTGAGTGTGGATTTTCTAACTAGCTATCAGATAATTCTAATTTCAGGACAAAAAAAAAAAAGGATCAATGTAATTACAAATAACGGATATACCCTATACATTACAATTTCTACATTTCATATCATTTACATGACTTTCCATTTTAATCAGTGGTCAGATATATTTCAAAGTTGGTAAAGAAATGTAAATGCCACTTGCAGCTCGGGCTACCTGGAACACAATCTGCCAAAAAGAAGCTTACAGACATCCACTGGTTAAATAATTCCAGAAGGTATTGCAGATTATTCAAGGCCCTCATATCAATTCAGCAGTCTCTAAAACCCCGCTATTGTGGCCAAAACCAAAGTTACATAGTTAGGTCAGGTTGAAGAAAAAAAAAAAGAAAGGAGAATAGAAAACTTGATCTACACAGTTGATCCAGGGGAAGAAAACAAAAAACAAAACACGCTATAAAGTATGGTTCAATTTGCTCCAACAGGGAAGAAAAAAAAAAAATCACATAGAAAACGAGCCCAAAATAACAAACATTACGATGTCCCTGTGTAGCCGGAGGAAACACAAAAAAATTGAATTGGGATGGAAGAAGGGGTCTATTTATTTAAATGTGGTTGATGTGTTTCCTGTTGCAGGCAGGCGGAGCCTTGTCTCATTGGCTGTCCTGGAAGATGACTGGGGAAAAATCCTTTCTGATCCCCTAAGGCAGGGGTAGACATCCGTGGCTCTCCAGCTGTGCTGAAACTACAAATCCCATCATGCTTCTGCCTCTGGGAGTCATGCCTGTGCCTTTCAATGCCTGATGGGATTTGTAGTTTCAGCACAGCTGGAGAGCCAAGGTTGACTGCCCCTGCACTAAGGCAATCTGATGTTCCCTGGATCAACAATTTCTGGTGTTATTGCTTATAAATGCTAATATCCAGTTATATTCTGTAAATTGAAATAATCATCTTGCAGTTCAACTTTCCTTCCGAAGCCTTTCCATACGAGATTGAGCCTCTTTTCCTCAAAACGCATAAAGTGCCATCTTGTTCTTTGCAATGGCTTCAACCCTTTCCCTGCCACCGACGTAAGGCTTACAGAGGAAAACAACCGCTTCCAGCTGGCAAGCTCAATAAGCCTTATGTCGGTGGCTTTTACTGTTCTGCTATAAGCTCATGAACTTATACCAGAACAGTTCCCCCCGTCAGCATCTGCAGCCTCTCATACCACCTGTAGTTGCTCCAGGCTGGGATCTATTTCTTCTCGGATACCTGCTGCTCTCCCCCGCCTGTAGGCAGCGGGGATCGGAGGAGAAATGGCTGGGGGGCAGAGAATGGAGCGCTGCACAAGCGCTGATGAAGCAGAGCCAATGGCTCTGTGACCGTGCGTAGCCAAACAGGTCAGGATGGCTTAGCAGAGGATTGGTAAATACCTGTAATAGTTACCGATCCTCTATGTGCAGGACAGCTGATCACTCCAGTGTTTGTAAATAACTTGGGACACACAGTACTATGAATGAACAGAAAGTGATTTACATTGCTTCCTGTTCATTCATGAGTTTCTTAATGGGTGGAAGCCTCACGATAGAGGCTTCTGCCCATTCATAACTGGATGATAGTAAATGTTTTACTATAACCAGTTATGAATGGGAAGCCTCTGTACTGAGTGCTTTACATTCATTGAGTGTTGAGGCTGCAGAAAAAAAGATTGAGGACTCTGCATCCTCAATTTCTTTTTCTATTTCAAAACGGAAATGTCAAGGTTTCCCCCTCCCCCCCTCCCATGTTATACACGTGCAACAGTGTGCACCATATTGCACATGCGCTGCATTGTTAGAACACATTGCAGTGCTTGATTTTTTTTCTTTTTGTCAAAATAACATTAATTTAACTGTGACAGTGCATGGTAAAGTGTTGTGACGCATTGCCGTGCGTTGTGATATGCTGTGTTGAAATTAAATGTACGCCTGTATCATTTTATAACAACACACACCAACACAAACGATTTTTAACATAAGTTGTTTATTTACAGCTTTGCGTTACTTAATTTTACGGTTTCATTGAGGCGCAATTTAAAATTTACAAATATTTGTTATTTATTAACTCAATACAGTTTTCTTTTTAGACTTAAGGTGCGATATTCGTAAATCGCAGGAAATCCCGCGATCATACAATTATCGCAAGGTGTGTGGAAGGCGTGCGACCTCTGCTACTGTACGGTCGCACGACTTTATCTTAGGAACATGTTCGAAAACCAGCCAAACATCGTACGATTGTCGGCTGCTTTGTGGCATGTTCGCAAGATAAAAGCCGCACGGGCCGGTGTGCGCAAGCGCACACTGCCCATTTAGCATTGCGGTCATCGGAAGCCCGCCCCTCAGTGGGGCGGGCTTGCGATCATCGCAAGTACGATCTGCCTGTCCAAGATAGGCAGATCGTACGTTTTTTAAATTACCGTACAACCATCGCAAGGCAAAAGTCTTGCGATGGTTGTAAGGTGTGTGCCCAGCATTAGTAGAAAAAATATTTTCTTTGTGCCCCGATACAGATCTAAGTGTGCTTTGATCAATTGAATTGTGTTGAATTGGTGTGGCCAGCTGAGGTTAAAAGCGTTCTGGAGGGCCTGGCAGCGAAATGGTTAAAGAACTCCAGGCAGACGAAACAACCCTTGCAGTGAGGCTACCCCCACACTGCAAGGGTTAAAGTGACCGTAAACTCAAGTTAAATCTTAAAAATGCATTCAAGTACCTTAACTATTACCAAAAATGTCCCTTATTTGTCTATCACTCAGCTGTAGATCCTCAAATCATCTCTGAATTGGTGCCGACACTGTCCTTCCTTCTGGAGGGAGACTACTTTTGTTCCCCTTGGTCCCTGTGTGTGTTGTAAAGTAGTCACTGCACCAAGCTCACTCTGTGATGGACTACAGTGCTGGCCAAAAGTTTTGAAAATGACACAAATATTAATATTTCACAAAGTCTGCTGCTTCAGTGTTTTAGGATCTTCTTATCAGATGTTACTATGGTGTACTGAAGTATAATTACAAGCATTTCATAAGTGTCAAAGGCTTTTATTGACAATTACATTTATGCAAAAAGTCAATATTTGCAGTGTTGACCCTTCTTATTCAAGAACTCTGCACTTCACCCTGGTGTCAATCAACTTATTGGCCACATCCTGACTGATGGCAGCCCATTCTTGCATAATCAATGCTTGGAGTTTGTCAGAATTTGTGTGTGTGCGCGGATTGACCACAAGCTCTCAATGGGATTAAGTTCTGGGGAGTTTCCTGGCCATGGACCCAAAATTTCGATGTTTTGATCCCCAAACTACTTACTAATCACTTTTGCCTTATGGCAAGGTGCTCCATCATGCTGGAAAAGGCATTGTTCGTCACCAAACTGTTCTTGAATGGTTGGAGAAGTTGCTCTTGCAGGATGTTTTTGTACCATTCTTTGTGTTCTTAGGCAAAATTGTGAGTGAACCCACTCCCTTGGCTGAGAAGCAACCCCAGACATGAATGGTCACAGGATGCTTTACTGTTGGCATGACACAGGACTGATGGTAGCGCTCACCTTTTCTTCTCCGGACAAGGTATTTTCTGGATGCCCCAATCGGAAAGGGGATTCATCAGAGAAAATTACTTTACCCCAGTCCTCAGCCTGTACCTTTTGGGGAATATCAGTCTGTCCCTGATGTTTTTCCTGGAGATAAGTGGCTTCTTTGCTGTCCTTCTTGACACCAAGCCATCCTCCAAAAGTCTTCACCTCACTATGCCTACAGATGCACTCACACCTGCCTGCTGCCATTCCTGAGCAAGCTCTGCACTGGTGGTGCCTCGATCCCGCAGCTGAATCAACTTTAGGATACGGTCCTGGCTCTTGCAGGACTTTCTTGGGCGCCATGAAGCCTTCTTCACAATTGAACCTCTCTCCGTGAAGTTCTTGATGATGCGATAAATGGTTGATTTAGGTGCAATCTTAGTAGCAGCAATAGCATTGCCTGCAAATCCCTTTTTGTGCAACGCAATGATGACTGCACGTGTTTCCTTGCAGGTAACCATGACAATGTCGATTTCAAGCACCACCCGCCTTTTAAAGCTTCCAGTGGTCTCCAGCCTTGTCCTCGTCAACACTGACACCTGTGTTAACGAGACAATCACTGACATTATATCAGCTGGTCCTCTTGTGGCCGGGCTGAAATGCAGTGGAAATGTTTTTTAGGGGACTAAGTTCATTTTCATGGCAGAGGGACTTTGCAATTAATAGCAATTGATCTGATCACTCTTCATAGCATTCTGGAGTATATGCAAATTGCCATCATACAAACTGAAGCAGCAGAGTTTGTGAAAATTAAAATGTGTGTCATTCTCAAAACTTTGACCACAACTGTACAATCTCAATACATATTAGGAAACTAAACCTGAGATTGTAGTCCATCACATGAGCGGGCTTGGAGCGGTGACTACTTTACAACACACATAAGGACCATGGGGAACACAAGTAGCCACCCTCCAGAAGGAAGCACAGTGTCAGCGCCAATTCAGAGATGATTTGAGGATCTACAGCTGAGTGATGTACAAATAAGATACATTTTTGTTATTAGTTAGGGTACTTTAATGCATTTTTAGGATTTAATGCCTGTGTTTCCTGTCACTTTAAGTACTCATTTTCATCTAGGGCCTAAAATTACAAAGAAATACTCACTTGAACATTGGCCCCGCCTTGATGCTAGACCAGTCCCAGCAGCCTCTCTCCTCCCCTTCACTCACAGGAAGTGGGTTGGATGATGCTGGTGGTCATTCAAACTGGAGGAGCAGCAGCACTGGAGCATGGAGTAGCAAGTCTGCAGGAGACAGCACTTGAGAAGAGGTGAAGATTGCAGTCAGAGGTGCTTTTTTTTTTTCTTCAAAATGCTGCTGGGGTCATTTTTTAATCTCCAAAAAATGGAGTTGGGCTTTAAAGTGGAAGATAAGTGTCTTTAAACAGGCAAGTTTTTATAATAGAAAAGACTGTGCAAGTCCCAAAATAAGCTTTTACCTACCAGCCAGCAAGTTTTTTTTACTGGACACAGAGCCGCCAAAATGAACTTAGTCCAATGCGCAGAGGTTACATCATGCAGGCCGGGCCAATCAGAATGGAAAAGATGCAGAACCCGAAAGAAGACCGGGAGAAGATGACAGAGTTAGCCATACACCTGCGGATTTTCTATGGTCAGATGGAGAAAATGCAACAGATTCCTCTATCTACGCTAAACTGTGTGGCTGGAGGAATCTCCCGCTGGGCCAAGCTTCAGTATCTTGCTAGTCGGCCCCGCTGGCTCTCAAAACACTGAACAATGCCTGCATCCAATCAGATTGTTCAGGTATTGCGCCAGCCAGCTGTGTCGACTAGCAAGTTTCCGTCATCCACACAGTTTAGCGTAAATAGAGGAATCTGTTGCACTTTTTCCATCTGACCATAGAAAATCTGCAGAAGATCTATAGGTGTATGGCCAGTATAATGCTGTAGGGAACCATTTGCAAGGTAAGTCAACCATAATGTACTAATATGCTGTGTATACTAGCACATTATGGCTAATACATATGGAATGCTTTATTTTTAATAACCATTTTACTTATGACCATAAGCTTACAGCTTCAAAACTAAGTCAGCAGACCTAATCCTCACATATCTTCTATACAGCCAGCAAAGGTAAGTGAAGCTTTACGCTTCACAACCAATCAGCCTATAGTGCCAAATGAAAGCTGCAATCCGATTGGTCGCTTAAGTGAACCACCTGTTGACCAATTTATATCTCCACCTAGGGTTTACTGCTGTAATGTTCCCCGTCTCACCCTCCTCCTCCCGGTCATCCTCTTCGTTAGCAGAACGAAATCCTGGTGGCAGAGCCGGACCGATTATGTCCCGGGACATCTTGAACTAAACTAGCGCCGCAATGTGACGTCACTAAAATGCGACATTTATGTCCCAGTTCCGATGGTGCAAATCAAAGCATGGCAAGAATACAATTCTGTAATGAAACGACTGGGTGACAAATGTGAGCGATCGCAACCAGCCGCGTCTGTATTCAATGAATGCAAAACACCGAGCGCCCTCTGACAATAAGGAAGTGACGTGTGCGTTTCAAGGCTGCCACGTGACCACAGATGTGATGTGCCCAGAGTTGGGCATTCAATTTTTAAAACGTATTTCAATGATCGGTTTAAATAAAGCAGATGGAGCATGTCAGTTAGGTCCAATAATACGCGAGTGATAGGTGTTTGTCAATGGAGACTAGAAGCTAAGGGCTGTGTAGTTTGTCGTGTTATGGACACCCGGAAGTGAAGCGCACGTTGTCATTCTGCATGCTTCAAGCATGGAGCACAGTGCTCCCTATCCCGCTCCTGTTCTTCGTCCTCCGATGTTCACAGCTCCCCCAGACTCCGGGCAACATGTATCGTGGCCCCCAACACCGCCGCCCGTCCAGGCCTATGGACACTGGCCGCCTGCTTGTCCCCAGAGCCCCTGGCATGGAGGATGGAATCTGTGGGGTCCCCAGCCGGGTTATACCCCCAATGTGTCTCAAGGTGGGTGATGAGAGCTGTACACACTCAGGAATACCTGATAGCAGTCCATAGATCAGCCTTAATTTCCAGTGTTCAATGCCTGCTCATTTATCTCTTCGTAGGAGCAAAAAATGCTAAACCCTTAGAAGTGATGTGGTAAACAGATTTCAGAGACACGAGGGCTCATTGCAGCCACATAAAGGGAAGGATGAAGGTGAGGGCAGTAAATGGGGGCTCTATACAAGCAGCCACCATAGTTGACCGCAAAAATGCACTGGCAGCCACCATAGTTGACCGCACAAATGCCCTGGCAGCCACCATAGGTAATCGCATGACATCGTAGCACACTGCTGCTGTGCAGGGACCTGAATGGAGTGTACACATTGAGGGGAATTTGTCAAAACTGAAGCAGAGAAAATCTGGAGCAGCTTTGCACTGCAACCAATCAGCTTCTCTGTCTCATTTTCAAACCTTACCTGAGCAAATTGAGAGAGAGATGCTGATTGGTTGCCGTGGGCAACTGCTTCAGTTTTGATAAATCCCCCCCATTGTATACTACTAATGTAAAAAATAAATAAATATGAACAGCGATAGCTCCACAACTGCGCAATACACCACACACTGCGGAAGTTGTCACAGTGCGCTAGCCCATCTGCTAAAATGCAGCATTTTTGCAGCTGGGCTAGTATAAACGCGCCCTTAGGGGTAACAACACAGCTTATTTCTGCCAGGTATCTAAAAAGTTAACCCTAGGGGTGGGGCTACTCCCACATTGTAAGGGTTAACTGATTGTTTTTCTCTAGGGGCAAAAATAAAGCAAACATACTCACCTGATCCTAGATCCTGCGGCGGTGAGTGCCCACCTCTCTTTTTGACCTTTTGTGGGGGCACGCAGTTTTGAGGCTTGACATATTTGGTACCTATTTACTCAACACAACCTTATTCGGGAATTATATTGTGTTTGTGCGCACTAACATTCATTAAAAAAAAAATTTCTGAGAAATTAGTTTTGATAAACAGTTTTACTAATATCGTGCAACATAAAAGATGACAACTACCTTGTTTTTATTCTACAGGCTGTTTGCTTCCAAAAAAATATAATGTTTTAGGGTTTTAAGTAATTTTCTATCCTAAAATGCAGATTTTAACACGTGTGCAAAGAATCTAAAAAAAAAAAAATATGGGGAAGTGAAATGGATAAGCAGAGGAAGAGAGAGGTAATCTTCTAGCACATAGGCGAGAATACCTGAGGGGCTGTAGTTACCGGTCAGTGTTTAAAAAGCAGTGTCAAAACAGTGGGCGGGGTCTCAAGGGTACAAGGCTCTAGGTACCCAGGAACAGTGTTCGAAGGGGGGTGCACTTACCTCTGCTTGATCTCTGTCCTAGTAATCTGCTAGAGCAGTGGTCCCCAACCCCCGGTCCGCGGATCAAATGGTACCGGGCCGCACAGTCTCAGAGTATCCTTTCCCTCCCTTGCCTGTTAATTGACTGGTGAGAAAAATGCAAAAGCTGAGCTCTATGCACATAGAAATTCTAACACTAAGGCAGTTTTGAATTTCTTTTAAAATATTAAAATTGATTTATAGCCTGTTTCTAGACAAAAATATGATTTAAAAAAGGCAAGCCTGTTAAGACCGTTAATGGAGAAGTATTGGGAGAGTAAAATACATCAGCCATAACATTATGACCGCTGAGAGGTAAAGCGAATAACATTGATTTTCTCTTTACAATGGTGGCTGGAAGTGGGGATGATATATTTGCAGCAAGTTAACATTTTGTCCCTGAAGTTGGTGTGTCGGAGGCAGAAAAAAAATGGCAAGCGTAAAGATTTGAATCACTTTCAAAAGGGCCACATTGTGACGGCTAGACGACTGGATCAGGGCAACTCCGGAACTGCAGCTCTTGTAGGATCTCCCTGGTCTGCAGTGGTCAGGACCTACCAAAAGTGGTCCAAAGAAGGAAAACCGGTGAGGTGGCGGTAGGGTCAAGGGTGGTCAAGGCTCATTGTTGCATGTGGGGAAAAAAGGCTGGTCCATGTAATCCAATTCAACAAATGAGCTACCTTAGCTCAAATTGCTGAAAATGTTAATACTGGTTCTGATAGAAAGGTGTATGAAGGCACAGGGGAATTTATCAGAATCTGGAGCAGTTGCCAATGCTAACCAATCATCTTCTACCTTTTCATTTTCAAGGCTTAACTGAACAAACTGAAGAGAGAAGCTGATTGGTTGCCATAGACAGCTGCTCCAGATTCTGTCTCTTCCAGTATTAATAAATTACTCCTACAGTGTGTCACAGTTTGTTGCATATGGGGGCTGCGTAGCCACAGACCAATCGGGGTGCCCATTCTGACCCGTGTCCACTGCCAAAAGTACCTACAATGAGAACGTGAGCATCAGAACTAGACCACAGAGCAATGTAAGAAGGTGGCCTGGTCTGATGAATCACGTTTTCTTTTACATCATGTGGATGGCTGGGTGCTTGTGTGTCACTTACCTGTGGAAGAGCTTCAACCAGAATGCACTATAGCAGGGGTGTCCATTAGGTCGATCTTGATCTACCAGTTGATCGCAAAGCGAACACTGGTAGATCGCAATATCGCATGAGAGGAGACCTGGGAAGCTGCTGAAGTGAAGGTAAGAGGAGAAAGTGAGAAAAGAGACAGAATATAGAAACGGGAGAGAGCGTGTTACACCACAAAGTCTGCTTTCCAGAGTTTTCGACCTCTGGAACGCAAGTCGGCCGGCTCCCTGCGCTCAGGGGTGGGGGGGGGGCGTGGGGTTGTATTGAAGTCAATGGCACCGGAGGCATGCCCCCCGCCCGCAGTGTGATCGCCCGCATGGGCAGGGGTCGTGGCTGCGGTGCCATTGACTTCAATGCACCGTCACACCCCCTCCCGCCCCTGAATTCAAGTGTTTTTCCGTTGGTAGATCTCATTGAGCTCGTCATTTGAAAAGTAGATCTTCAAACGAAAAATTGTGGGCGCCCCTGCTCTATTTTAATTTATAGTAGGTGTTTCCTTTTTTTTACCCCACTGCTTGTATGTCCAGGGTCTGGGTAACAGATTTCACATATAAAATACAATATACAGTATGTCAATATAGCTGCCAAAGCCATGTTATACTGTATATGAAGATTATTGCGGTAACAAGTTCCTGTAGCAGTCCCTTTTTACTCTAAAGAGACCACTATACGTTTCACAGATCTATTTAAGTACTCATATCTATAAAGAAGCTGAGATGTTTTGACATTGCTTACTGGATTGCTGGAAAGTTATCATTCTGTCATGTTGTTTTGGAAGCAACTTTTATTTTTCCAGGTGTTGTGCAACAAGAAAACCTTGCAGTAAAAATGTTATCAGGATGGGTATATGAGGGTATATCTGAAATCAATATATTTACCAGAAATAAGCTTATCCAGCTTGAAGTATCACTCAGAAAATGCATAGCTTAATTGTTCAGCCTGGCAGCAAAACACTTGATTGATTAAGCCTGGTGGAGCCTGCTATGTTTATGAATTTGGTATCCAAGTTCCGCAAGCTCTTTTTAATTTGACTTCAACAGCATATGCATGTTGTATGTCAAGCGCTTGCTGTTCTACTGATGACATAACTAGTAGTATCCAAGAGATCTGTGGATGAAAATGTCATCCAAATTATCATAGTAAGTCTAATGAGAAATGTCATGTGGATCACAAGACTTCTATAGCCACAGTACTTTTTGTGATTCGAAAATGATTGGTTACTATGGAAACAAAAGACTGGGGGATTGTGAAGTATATAAGAAAGACATTGTTACTATTAGATAACTAATGTAATTTATCAATCTTACATAGATCCAATTTCTCTCTTACAGGTGGGTCTAAGCAGTATGGTCATGGAAACCACATGCAATTAGGAAATGGTTGTTATGGAAACAAAGGACATAAGGTATTAAACTTCAGTACTAAATAAGCAGTGTATACACATTTTGCAGCTCTTATTGCTTGCATGTTTCATGGTTGCCAAATTGTTTGGTCTTCTATTGAGACCGGTCTCCTGCACACAAGGAAAGGAAAACACTGATGCAAAGACCTTACATGAATATTAGCTAAAGGAAAGTAGTGGACTTGCATATAGTCAACGTGATTCCACAACTTTTTTTTTTTCTTTCTTGTGTAAGTTGGATATGGAAACTATACTTAAAGTGACATTAAAGGCTAAAGTCCTCCCCCCTCTCCCCGTGCTATAGTAAGGACTTACCTTAAATTATGCCTCTTAATCCGGTCATCTTCTGCTTTCCTGTAGTTTCTAGCTGTCCCTCCAGCGCTGGTGCGGGTCTCCGATCAAGCGCTGACTCCTCTGTCCTCTTCGCTCACGTCCCACGGGTTCTGTGCGGGTGCACGCTGGTCCATATAACTTGCCTTGTGTCTCTCCTCGTCTCCCGGCCAAGTTGGATATGGAAACTATACTTAAAGTGACATTAAGGGCTAAAGTCCCCGCCCCCAGTGCTAAAGTAAGGACTTACCTTAAATGATGCCTCTTAATCCGATCATCATCTTCTTTCCTGTAGTTTTTAGCTGTCCCTCCAGCGCTGACTCCTCTGTCCTCCTCTTCGCTCATGTCCCACGGAGTCTGTGCGGGTGCATGCTGGTCCATACACTTACCCTGTGTCTCTCCTCGTCTCCCGGCCAAACATCTGAATTGTGCATGCGCCCGCCCCAAGATGCTTTGCAGCCGCCCGAGAAATTCTCAGATGTTCGGACATCTTAACTAAAATCATTTTAACTAAAACCGTATTTAACCGTGCTAAGAAACGCTTCATATTGGTGCTCTCAATGAGTGCTTGCAGTTTGCAAGCGAACGCAAAATCCAGGGCTGCGCTGGACAGCAGTACAGGATATGGGTGGTAGGCCCATTGCCAAAAGATAAGTATAGGGGAGAGGGAACCAGATTTAAGTGGGTAATTCCATTTTCCCAAATTACTTGGTGAAAGTGACCTTGCCTTTTAATGCACATTGTGTGTTCAGGTTCCCATAAGCCTATCGATTTATCATTGGGAAATCGTCCACGAATGGTCTTTCGTACAATAATCGATCAGTTGATGGGAACCTAACAACAATTTATTTTACTGTACTCCTGGCTGAATTTCCTCGATCGGTCAGGCTGGAAAACTTTTTCCGTATAGAAAGATTAGTGGTGTTTTCGTACAAAACATATCTCAACATGAACACCACACCTGCGCAAACGAAAATTCGCTCTGTTAAGCGACGAAGGGGGTGGATTCTATAGCCACTAGCCCTGGAAAAGGCTGCACCTTCTGCTGCTGACATTTCATTATAAAATGAATTCAGTGTATTAATTGTATTCACATCTGTGCTTTCGTTCCTGAAATTGGCAATCGAAATGAACCATGCTGAGCATTCTCAACCAGTTCTTCTGGTGACTACCGTGGAGAATCTTTCCATAGTTGCCAATATTCCAAAACATTGTGGAGGGACTTGTTGTGCATTATTTAGTTTTTTGAGGTGGTCATCCAGTGACAACATTCAGATCTCTCCAGCACGTTCTCTATAGGTTGAACTCGATGGACTTGTGTCTTTTTTCAACCTGACTAACTATGTAACTATGTTGCCTGTAAGCTAATAGAATTTTTTGTTAAATGTATACGTTTTGTGATTGGCTCAAAAGAATCTTTGAATTTCTGAGTACAGTGGTACCTCGTTGCACAAACCTTAATTCGTTCCACGACTCTGGTCACGAACCGATTTTTGGTCGTGAACCGAATCAAACTGTGATCAGACCGCGATCTCAACTACAGGAAGCCATGACCATGTGTCAGAGCAGGGAAGATGGCTGCGGTTGTGTTAATCACCCGAAGCAGAGTTCGCAAACGGAAGCAAAATTATGCCGAACTTCCTGTTCGCGAACCGAATTGTTCACGGACAGAAGCGTTTGTGAACTGAGGTACCACTGTATATACATACATACATACTAGACTATACGTTCTCATGTGCAGGGCTCTCCTAACCCTATTGTATTGAAATTGTATTGTAGCTGTACCGTCTCCCCTATTTTGTAAAGCGCTGCGCAAACTGTTGGCGCTATATAAATCCTCAATAATAATAATAATGATCATAATGTTGGGCCATTTGCGAGTGCTTTTGTATGAGAAAATGACACAAATATATTTTTTGTTTGTGTTTATGCTTTTAGAGAAAACAGAAAAAAGAACCAGTTTACACACATTTCTGTGATACATGTGACCGGGGCTTTCATAACCAGGAAAAGTATGATGAGCATATCTTGCAGCATGTGAAGGTAAGATCAAGTGTGGTGTATATGAATGTTGTATTCCATGTACATACACTATAGCAGTCTATAGCATTTCCAGTGTCCTGCTCATTACATGGCTGTAAAGCTGAACTCCAGGCAGACTTAAATAAAACATTTTTTTTCTAATTATGTATTTAATGTATCATTACAAATAATATTAAATATATGTATGTACTTAATACAGTTAAGGGCCTTTTTTTTCTTATATAAATGCTTTTACCCAAGATTCACACAAATTTATCCCAGGATTCATCCATTTCCCAAATGAATCCAATTAAACAAATGCGTGAAAACATTTATAAATAGACCTCCTAGTCTAAATACCTGAATTTAGTCTTTTTAGCTTTCTGTAATTCTATGTACAGACAGGACTAGGCAAAAGTGGGTCAGCAGGGCTCTACTGCTTGGTGTTGTCAGCTATAACACGGTAAACATGTTTACAGGGGGAACACAGGGTTGACCTCATTCTGTACTGCTGCTCTCTGACTGTTCAGTAAAAGTCTTGGGATGGTGTCCCTAAGGAAGATGTATGAAGCACAGGATGTCGAGGATCTGGCTTTGTTGCCTTTCTGGGGTGCCTAAATCAGAAGACTGGCTTAACAGAATTACAAATATATTATGAAAAATGAATGTGTTTTTAGTTCTGTTTATTAATTTAACCTGATCATTATGTTTGCCATATTATGTAATAATATTTTGCAGCACTCCTTACCGCATATCCCACAAGCAGCGGGTTCTGGTAATGACTGCGGAAGGCGCCACTCACATCAAAACTTGAATACAGATCACACGAGCACGAAAATTCCATATCAGTGCAAATCCATTTTATTGATGGAGGTCACTCAAACGACAAGCGTTTTCGGAGCCACGTAGGGTCCCCTTCATCATGCTCATCTCTGAACCTCGTGAAGGGGACCCTGCGCAGCCCTGTAAGAGATTGTCGTTTGAGTGACATCTATCAATAACATGGATTTGCACTGATATGGAATTTTCGTGCTGGTGACCTCTATATTTGAGTTTTGCCATATTATGTACACCACCTTGGTTATCAAATGTATTTATTTAGTCTTTCTAATAACCCTTTCATTGCTACCGTATGTACATTAGGACATTGTGGACCTGATTAATTGAGCTGATTTAATTCTGTGTGCGAACAAGTTTTGCATCGCTCTATGGCCACTGGATGGAGCAGAGGAGCCTAGTGGCCATATAGCACTTTGAATCTTGTTCGCACAGTGACGAACTGTGAGAACAGTTTATAAATCAACCCCAATGTGTTTTTAAATTAGAAATAAAATAGTAAACTTTGCACTTTTATTCTCATGTTAAAAGTGAAGTCGGTCAGAATTTCTGATCTGCATAATTGTTTCAGGAGCTGACACCACAGGGTTAGTATGGCAGTCGGGTAACTAGCATTTGTAACAGAGGTCAGCAGTGGCAGGCTACTTGTTGGTTGTAATACATGTTCTGTGGTTTTTAAAATGGTCTGCTGAATCTAGGAGTATGTACAGAAATAAAACGGAATATACAGGTTTGCCGTCTCTTCTTGAAGTAACTGTTTTCTTTATGCACTTTTCTATATGTGTTCCTAGTGTCGGGAAGCAGGCTGCAGTTTCAGTGCACATGAGAAGCTAGTACAATTACACTGGAAAAATGTAAGTCACAGTTATTAATGTCTTTGTATGGATGCAGTTCTAACATTCAGTATCTCTGCAAGCAGAAATATGTTATCAGTGTCTGGGGTAGTGACTGGTCTGCATGTACAAAGTATATATGCTGATGAGTTCTTTAGGCAGACCGGCTAGGAATGAAAATCTGTCTCACAGAAGGGTATACAATGTTTTTCATTTTCACACATATAGCTTTAAAGTAGACATAGAGAATTATGGCTTTGTTGCATATAAAGAAACACACTTTTTAACGATGGCAGCTGCAAATAATTACTGCGTAGATGTAGCACAAATAAGTTGTTATTTTTAGTCTATAATTTTTAGTGCAAAGTAAATTTACATTGTATTTAACATCATATATTTTTAGTTTTGCAACCTACATTACCTATTTCCAGATCCAGCTGTTCCATGTATTGTAAATGAATGCAGATATTTGGGGCATCACATATTTTGTATTTTTCCAGCTATTGTAGCAGATGCAGCAGTAATGGGCTCACCACAAGCTTTACTGGTCATGGGGAGGCTCACCTGCCATACACTGACGTGCCCTATAATAGATCTAAAGTAATTTGTACCACCAACAGGAAAAAAAAACGCACATGAATAAATGTTGCTATTTTCCTCTCGCAACACAAAAAGCATACAGCCATTAACGTATCAAATATAATGTTAAAATGTCCATAGCTCTTGGCGGGTGGACTGGAGTACATGCTTCATTGCACTGGCATCAAGCAGCAGGATTGGATGATGTGGTTATAAATATGAAGCTCTGCAGATATTTGTTGCTGCCAGTCTTCCTGCTCGATATTGAATGATCTGAGATGGATCAAGCAATAGTAGTGTCATGTCTGTGGCCTTTTCAAGGCATGCCTTGCTACATTCTAGTGTTCTTTCTTACTTATTGACCAGTGTTTATTGAAAGACACGCATGCTTTTGAATTGTTATGCAAACATCCTTTCTTTCTCGTCTATTGAGGGACACAGGAAGTACTATGGCCTGCAGGAGGATTGTACACTGGTAGAGTTGCAGCTAACGATTATTTTCAAAATCGATTAGTTAGCCGATTATTAAGTTCGATTAATCGGATAAAAAAATATGTCTATATAGCTGCGTGAGCTTTGTCATTCTGATTGCAGCTGTCTCGCTTATTTGTTGGCTTTACGTTTGGAGTACTGCATCTGGACCCTGCTGGACTGGTGGTTGGGAGCATAACCTGGAAGGGACCTTTTGAGCAAAGTTCCGCTTGAGGCACATTCTAGACTGTCTGTCAAAAGTTAGCTGGGGAGGGTTTTCCAGATCCAGAGCTGCAGGCATTGGTGCTTGCCCTGTTTCTGAAGACTCGCTTAGTGATTAAGACCATCAAGCCTAGCACCGCAGGAGTCTTTATTCCCACTAGGATAGGCCTTTATTTCCTGTTTAAAAAAAGCTGTCATTTTGTCCCTTCCTAAATTAAGCTAAACTGCTACATCTCTGCAAATAATAAATCTAATAATAATCATAATGACACAACACAAGTGCTGAATGATGCAATGGTCTTTTTGTATACAGAAGGGAAAAACAATTAGTAAAAATTATATAATTGGAGCTAAATGAATAATACAAATAAGTACAATAAAAGAGCACAAATAATACATTATGTAGCAAGTTCATCCTCTAGTTGTATCAGTGTCTACTCAGATGATATCACACCCCCTTTATGGGTCTTTCATCCAATCCGCATCTTCCCTAGGATTCTGCAGTGCTCACGGAAATCCTCCACCATATGGCGCCATCATACTGTGGGCAAATTCCTTGATGTAGGTCAAAATCAGGTCACAGCCTTGAGTGTTTTTTGATGCAAATATGACCCCCCCCCCCTCAAAACTATGTGTATATGTATGCGTGTCCAATACATTTCCTACTGCTTTTGCCACAGAAGGGGTTAAGGTGGTGAGTGCTGTCACTATCTGCGGGTTGAAGTGTCGCACGTGATCTTTGTCCCGCCATTGAGCATTTGTAAACCGGAGACCATCTCCCCACTGTTGCTCCTACTTGCAAAAAGCTTCCTAGAACTTTGATCTTTGATCCATTCCTACTGCCGCTTACAGTAACTTTGGCCACCTCCGGCGATCTGACCTTCACCTGTTACCAGCTGTCCTGGTAACGGGAGTACCTAAGGCCTTGCCTCTTACTTTGAGCCTATAGGTTTCCTTACCTCCAGGCTGTCACAACATGTCGGATTCTAGACATGGGGGCACATTCCCACTCTAACTTTCCATTAATGGCTGTGGATTAGTTTGCAGGGCACCTACTGATGGTGCTGATATCTGTAACCTAGAACAATACCCTCTGCTCCTAGAGTCTGTTCCGTTCTTAGAATCCTCTTTAGCTCCATTGGGTGTTGCTGGGTCTTTGGCCCTTTTGGCAGAGGTCTTTTCCAGTTGTTTGGTAACTCTAGTCGCAAAAGCCTGCATCCTTTCCTACAGATTATATTCCTGATTTGTCCACAAAGTTGGCATTAGGGCTTTTTGAGATGAGAAAACAGGCCACAATAAAGTTGAGCCAGTTTTAAAAGAATTTAGAAAACTTTTATTAACATAGAAAACATTAAAATATCCACGAACACTCGTAAAAGCAAGTCACAAATATTGGCAGGGGATTATCAAAGTCTTGAGGAGCAAGACTGGTTAGTTGCATCTATTTATACAAGACCCATATGGTATCAACCACTAGATGTTAGTGTGATTTCACCAATATTCAATATTTCCGCCTTCAATGCGTTTCATGTCATCGCTTCATCAGGAAGGTGAGTGAAGTAATTTGTAGGTATTGTATTACAATCCAAGTGTTTAGGAAATAATCCTCTATTAAAATCCAGTAGGAGATACTGCCACCCCAACAAAGAATCTTCAGGCACAGGGGAAAGGGTTAATAACCAGAGAAGTACACCTCCAATATCTTAACGAGACAGGAAACTAATGTTCACAGAAGGCCAGCTAATTCCCCGTATAACTTGGTTTAATTGTACTGACATAGATGTGTTTCCTTATCCACAGCGCATGTGGGATTCCGCCCAAAACAGCTGACTGTAGCATTAAACTATTGTTGGGGCAGTTTGCTGGAACCTTCTCTTCTCACTTTTCATGTGTTTTTATGTGTGTACATATGTGTAGGGTACATTGGCTAAAGAGCTGGACTGTGGAACCTTTTGTGTAAGCATTTCATCCGCATAGCCATCCCATGATTTAATGCAGAGATAATTTTATTTCAATGAGCTTGTAAATTGATGTTTTCTAGATGCATGGACCTGGAGCCAAGCGAATTAAGCTGGACACACCAGATGAGATTGCCAAGTGGAGGGAAGAGAGAAGAAAGTAGGTTAACATATATGGAAAAATAAAATTTAGTAATAAATTAAATTAATTAAATTAAAAAACCAATACAAATGATGGGATGGACAATCGACTCGGAAAGGAAAGAAACAATAAGGCTGAATTATGAAATAAATAATATTTATTTCATAATTTCACATACACCTTATTTGTACTTAAGTCTCAATAGTCACTTTATTATTGACTTATTTATTTAAACATATACACTGCTTTTGTGTCCTAGGGACTGATCTCTGAATGGTTTGAGGACTGCAAGTTCAAGCTGTTGAACCAAATTCTCCAGATTTCAATCCAATGGAGCATCTGTGGCATGTGCTGGAAATACAAGTCTGATCCATGGAGGCTCTACCTTCAGAGGTCTAGTGGAGTCAATGCCTTGATGGGTCAGGACTTTTTTGGCGGCAAAAGGGGGGCATACTCAATTTTAGGAAGGTGGTCATAATATTATAGGGTCTTATCCTCCTCCTGTTTAAAGAAGATGTACATATTCTAATGGTAAAGTAGAACTGAAGCCAAGGCCTCCTTCTTTTTTTTTTTTCTATTTCAAAGAAGGGGTCGGTTTTAACCCCTTTCACCTTTTTTTTTTTTTTTTCCCTCTGTGTCCCATTGGGGAGAGTTCCTTTCACAACTTCACAAGTGTAAAAAAATTAAATAGCCAGGAGGCGCAAAGATCACGGTTAAATAGACCGATGTATTCATGAACTTCAATTCCCCAGTCAGAATCCTTGCCTGTTCTACAAGCGCTTTGGTATAGCAACTACATTGGATGCCGGTCAAGAACAAATATGTAAAGCTGCTACGTAGTTAAAGAGGAACTCCAGCAATTTACAAAATGAACTCCTTTTGATCAAGGGGCTGGATTAAAGAAGATATACTCGCCTGATCCTCAATCCCGCCTGGCAGCTATACCAGCCCCCACAGTCTCTTCTCTGTGCTCCAGCGGTTTAAAGCCCCACTAACGTCATCACTTCTAATGCAGGTCCGTTTACCTGCATTAGAGCGGAGGACGCCAAGGCATATACTACAGCCGGAGTGGAGGGAGAGAGATGAGCACTGACTGCTGCAGGACCAAGGATCAGGTGAGTATATCTTGTGTTTTCTGGCCCCTAGACCAAAACGAGCAGTTAACCCTGGCAGTGTGGGGGTAACCCCACTGCCAGGGTTAATTTTAATAGCTGCAAAAGGCCTACGACTTTTGTCCGCTGTTTGAAACTTTGGTCAGCTTGAGAGCAGTCGCTTGTCAGAAAGGTACTGCAAACAGTTGTCTCACTCCAAATGGTTTAAGTTCTTTGTTGCCCTCTCCGGCTATCCTAAAAGACTATTTGGGAAAATCCAAGTTAGACATCTGGTAACTTTGTTTCCAGGAGTCTTTCAAGACAGCAGTTACTGCCCACCTTATTAATGTTATGTGTTTTTCAGTATGGCTAGTGGTGCTCTAGTAAAGGTAAAACTGAGGATCTGTGGACAGTATCGTCAGTTTAAAGATTTGTACTAGACTTAGTTACCGATAAGTCTAGCGTGGAGTTTCTTTTATAATGTTAAATGGTTGTGTCATTGAAATGTGCATTGGTCTGATTTCAGTTTCTTTTAGGTTCACAGCATTGATGTTGAATAGCAATATGCTGTGTTTCACTAATAACTTTCTATTGCATCTGTTGCATTCTCTGCCAAATCATCCAGTCATTAGCATAACTCTATATGCTTTATCTGCCTGCAGAAACTTCCCAACATTACAGAACATTGCACGGAAACATCAGCTCCAGAAGGAAAAAGAAGAGCGAGGAGATGTGCTGACGACAACTCAGTTTGGGTATGTATAAAATATTATTGCAGCTGCTGTGATTGCTACAATTCTCTAATCTGATTGGAGTGAAGGCTTGAAGCCTTGTGATAAGAAAACTACTCGTTGTATATGCCTCTTCCTTTCTCCCATAACGATAACATATCTTTTGCGGATACTGGCAGGAAATGTTTTATTCTACTGTATACTGTATTTCCTTTAAATGTAAATAATTTAAATGTTGCTTCAGTGTCTATTCTCTAAAGCTGATTTGGGCTGGCACAGACCATACACAGCCTCACTGCTTTGGAGTACTTAGTACTTATTCATATTTTATACACAATTCTGGTACCCTAACACACGATCATATTAGTGGGCAGATGTCATACATTGTGATGCACTGCTTTGCTCTGCATAAAGGTGTGTTTCCAAAATGAATGGGCTGCCTTGATCCATTTTGTTAAAGAGACATTGCCACTTTACCCTTGCAGTGTATGTGCAAAGGGAAACTCCCTACCTCACTATACTAACCTTACTTGCACTCTCTCTCAGCTCTTAGTCTTGCATGCTGTATAGAGTCAATCTGAGATTTCCAGGTATAGGGAGCATGTGACCTTGCCTGGCAGTGAATTGCTTGGCCTAAATACAGACCTGGGGAGTGATGTCACCCCTTCCCCAGATCTCTGATGCAGGCAATTTTAGTAAGCGAACAAAGAAAACAAGGCTTTTAAATGGATAGGATGCAGCCAGGTATTTACCAAATTGCATACACCCCTGGGACGGTATACAAGACTAAAATATATATACAGTGTATACATAGTGACCCAAAATTTCTTCATTCAGGAAAATGAAGGGGATGAGGACTGAACAAGCAGGCAGTGCTAAAAATAAGCGATTTTGGAAACACAAAAAGCAAAAAAACTTTCAAAACATGTGTAGAGGCAATGAGAAACCAAAGGAAGAGTTGATGGAGCCTAAAAATGAAGATGCCCCTGAGAAGAAAGTTACCAGTCATAGTAGTGAGAACACTGTGAACCCTTTGGATATCCTGGTAGGCAGTGGCCCAGGTAAGGTGTCCTTTTTTAGTTTTTTGTTTTTTTAAATAAAATACAAACGTATTACCACTTGCATACAGTTTATCTACGTTAAATGGTGAAGTTGATAACCAGTATTGTATTGGGTGTGAGGGGTGCTGATGTTTCATCTGCTCTTCTTTTTCAATTAAAATAGCATATTCACTTTTATTATGAGTAAAGAGAGATTTAGTGGTTTCTTTGTAGCAAGTGTGTAGCTCTTTACCTGCTGGCATGCACCATGTAAATGTTGTTCTTGGTACGACTCTTTGGACATATGCACCAGCACATAGCTTCTTGTACACTTTAGGGCTTCAACTAATGATTATTTTCATAATCGGTTAGTTGGCCTTCTTTTTTTTTTTTATTTTTTATTTATTTGAATAAAAAAATTAATAAATCTTCAATTTGAAAAAAAAAAATACACAAATGGGGTGTTACAACAAACATATAAAGTTTACTTCAGAATAAAACTGCATGCACAATTTTTTTGCACTGGAATACAGTACCACGTGTACCAATGCAGGCAATCGCACCCTGGGCGAGAGGCGTGTTTTGGGTGCTATTGAAATGAATGGCAACGCACCTCCCCCGATTTTATTGATTAGTGCTCAAACTTCTTAGCTAATGCAGTATAGTACTCCTCTGTGTATGTTCACTGAGGTGTTTTTTACATATTAATGTTTATACTCTTCTGCCTGGCACTTTTAAAATAGACTATACTTCACTAAAATGCAGTTCCATGGCGATTGTTGAGTGAGAACTCACGTCAGCTTCAGAAAATCTTCCTCATCCTGCACTTCTTGCATGTGTGGCCCACATTCCATTTACAAGTTTAAAGGAGAACTATGGGGTCAGTGTTTTTCCCCATAGTTCTCAGGGTAACGGGAGGACACAAACTACCGTCCTCCCGTTACCCTAAGCTCAGTATTGAGCTTAGGGTACTGAGACGCCGCAGACGGAGCGGATCTCGACGTAGATGACGGGATCCGCCCAGCTGCGTGAGTGACAGCTGGCTCTGCCTATCTAAAGGCAGAGCCAGCTGTACCCGCCCCCTCCCCAGTCCGTTCCGCCAGTCAGCGCTGGCAGATCGGAGCGGGGAGAGGGGAATACAGCCCCTCCCCCTGTCACGGCAGAGAGCCATGACAGGATCGAGAGGTGAGCGAACCTGATATGTGTTCGCTCACCTCCCGATCTACTGAGCCGACCTGTGACAGTCTCATTGTCACAGGTCGGCTAGAACTATGAGGTGAGTGGAAATCACTCATCTCATAGTTCTCCTTTTAAATCTGCACAAAAACGTTTATCCACACTTTGTGTGCACCAATTGCCTTTGCAAACTTGGGTATTACTTTGTAAAGTAGCAGTGGCATAATCAATGGGCTACACAAGCTGTACAGAGAGTACAGATTTTTTATGCACAACGGAGAGTAGATCTGTGGGAAGGACCCACCAGGCCACACCTTCTACGGGCTGCCTGCCGAATGGGTGGGAACAAGACCAGTCATCCTGCACAAGGTGAGAGAGCAGCAGTGACTATTCTTTATTATATGAAGCAATGTTTCATGTTGGATTGTTGCACAGATCTGAAAGAAATATACAAAGCACAACGAGATTTGAGTAAGAATACATGTCTCTTGTATTTAGGAGTTCAGATTTTAGTGCCTAATAGTAAAGATGGCGAATATATATATATATATATAACCCAATACTATACCCCCCCCAAAAAAAACCCCAATACTAGCATTCAAGCAACCACTGAACCTGAGAAGAAAATTGGTACGCAGTAAGCTGACCCCCCAGAACAGGCGCTTACACACACAGTACAATGCAATAAACCCCGCTGCAAACTTTACCAACATATATGTGATAGAAATACAGCGAGTCACAATAACAAAGCGTACACCATTAAGGGGTCATACTCATGCACATCTGCTAACGTGGTGTACATGATACAGTGTTCAGCATGTGACAAAGGTTGTTAGATTGGGGGAACTGGCCTTAAGCTGCAGCTCAGGATGAACCTACACAGGAGCTCGATCAAGAACCACAAAGAGAATGAATATTGCACCCCAGTAGGACATCACTTCTCCCAGAAGGATCACTCCGTCCAAAACCTCAATATTAAAGTACTAAAAGGGAATTTTTAAAAACTCATGAAAGGAAAATATTTGAGATGAAAATGATTTTACATTTCAATGTCATAAAGGAGGGACTTAATGTGGATTCTGGTTTTCTGACACACTACCAGAACTTTTTATGAATCTTCAGAACATCCCAATATTCATGTATGTGGTATATCTCTGATCTGTTTAGGGTTTATTTGTCATACTACATTTTATTTTTTCTGTCTTTTTGATTATCAGGAGGCATTTTTTACGCACAGGTCCAACATTTATGACACCCCACTCACCCCCACCCCCTCCTCTAACAGCTTTCTCCTGTCTTAACTGACAAACTGTCATGTTGCTTACTATTGCTTCTGACCTGATGAAGAGAGGTATCATTGCACACTGCAATACTACGTTTTTGTTTTTTTGACGAATATATATATATATAATCAAAATGTGTTTTTGTTTTTTTTTGCATTTACATCTTTGTCTATTCTCATCCTTAGAATCTGACAGCGGTGAAGAACAGAGCAATAATGGTTTAACTGTCATTCCTAGGCAGGTGACATCCGGTCTGAGTAATCTGATGTCTAGTTATGGGAGTGCATCAGACAGTGAGCCTGATGGTATGTATGTTACCGAGTTTCCACTGATGAAGAAAATGAAAGAGAAAATTAATCTTATTGTGGATGCTCCGATTACCATTTTTTCAAGTACAAGTACTGATACTTTTCCTCAAGTACGAGTAGCGATACCAATTTCTTTTTGGTCATGTGACAGTTTTTCTAAAACAATACAAACTAATGATTTTAGGGCAGCAGTAGAGCGCCGGGGCCTGGTCACAGCTGCTAGTCCCAGCAATACATTATACAACAATGCAGATTAATATGAACCTACATACTCTGTGTTGCTCTGGGGTGGCGGCCTGATCTGTGTGGGGTCTCGGGTTGGCTGTGCAGTCCGGAGGGTCTCGCGGGTGGGTGCAGTCGGCGGAAGCACTGTAATCCGTGCTGCATGGTTCCCCAGTAAGGAGGAGGAGATGTGCGGCCGGCACTGTAAACTGGCTCTGCGGTTCATAGGAAGGCTTCCGAGGTCCTCAGCAAGCGCGGAACCTCAGACAACCACTTCAGTTTGAAAATGTAAAGGGCTGGTATCGGCATTTTGTATCAGGGCAGTATCACGATAAGAATACTCATGAAATGCCCAGTATCTGCACTGATACCTGTATTGGTGCCTCCCTAAATTTTATGGTTTGTGTAAAGGGGTGTTTCATGTAGCCAGGGCTTTTTCACCTGAGATTTTTAATTTGGTAACGTAGCCTTACTAAAATGTGTGCACAAAACAAGGCGGTCAGGTAATGGGCTATTAGTGGTAGTTCACCATGTGCGCAGCGATTTCAGCCACTGAATAGCTAAAGCAGAACTCCAGGCAACATCATTATTAACCCATGCAGTGGGGTCTACCCTCGCACTGCAAGGGTTAATTGCTCGTTTGTGTCTAAGGACTAACATAAAAAAAGTTGTACTCTTCTGAACCTCTGAGCTGAACGACTGTGACGGTGCTCCCTCCAGCCTGACTCCTCAGCTGCAGAGATATCTCCCTTGGTGATGACTCGAGGATCCTTGGACTGGTGCAGCAGATGGGGAGAGAGGCGGAAGGCATCGGTCTAAGAGCAAGCTGGCCTGAGGATCAGGCGAATATATCTTTTGTTTTTTTAATTTTTTTTAATTTCAGTCTCTAGACCTAAACGAGCAGCTAACTTGCAGTGCAGGGGTAGCCCCACTGCAAGAGTTAATACAAATGTTGCCCAGAGTTCTGCTTTAAATAACAGTCCAAAATTACCAGGGAGTATACAGTATCATAGCCATTCCAGGATTATTCCATTTTTTTTCTCATAACACATTTTATAAACAGACATTTTGCTGTTTTAATAAAATGACCGAATAAATGGGAGAAGCTTGGTAGGGCTGTGATGTACTCAGGTTTTTTTTGGACTGATAAAATGTGTGTACAGACTGTAGAAGGTTGGAAATGTAAGCTTAATTCATGCATTTCTCTGGGTTATACAATATACTACAGGCTGGGTATATTAGCTACGTGTAATGAGCACGCTCAATCCTTAATTTGTCCATCATGCACTGGCTCCCTCTGCTGGACATTTACAAACGTGACTAGATGGTTTATTTTGCTGGATATTTAATGACATCATACAGTAACTTGCATTAAAGGATACAGACAATCCTCGAGTTACAATAGGGTTACGTTATGGAAAATCCATCGTAAAGCGAAAACATCGCAAACCGAGGAGTTGTGTACTGTACTGCCGCAGTTGGCAACAGACAGACTGCTATTGGCAATTGCAATAGCAGGTTAGCTATCGAATCCCTGCCCACTAAGAGGAGGAGGAGTGGACCTGAGAGAGAAAGTACTCTCTCAGGTCTGCTCAGTGGGCGGGTGCAATAGCCAACATGCTTTTTGCAATTTGAAATAGCCAATAGCAGTCTTGCTATTTCTCCCGGCTGTTTACATCCACCTGCCGGCTGTGGAAGCTACCCGGCAGGTGAATGGGGACAGCTGAGAGCTTCGGGGCTGGTTGCTTGAGAGTTACTATTACCTCACAAGTATCCAGATACTACAGTTATCTGGCACCTACTGATCCGTGGGTGCTGAATAATTGTGAGTTTACTGTACAGTAAACTCCATCGTAATTGCGAGAGAAACAGACTGCAAAGCAAAAAAAAAAGGCTGCTTTTTTAGTGCTAGTAACACACTGCATTATGTATGTCATGTTTTTATTTTGGCCTATCATAAATTGTTTTCTGCTCTGTCTAAACCAGTACAAGTTACCGTAATTTAGTATTGGTTACTGCATATAATTACTATTTACCATAGAAAGGGAGGTTTTCTAGTTTGTTTTGATTGTAAATGCATTTAGTTGATGATTTTATTTTCCTCCAAGTCAGTGAGTGGGTACCTCAGTTGGAGCAGCATCTTTTTTTAATTATATTTATTTTGGCCAGGTAGACATTATCCCACAAACAAGCAATTTGTGTTAATGATCTGTATGTAATGAGGTAGTCTTAAACTGTGTGGGCAGACTCATTCTGGGCAGGCAGGTATCAGTAACAAATAGGTTCCTGCTGTTGAAGTTTTACATTTGCTTACAAAGTTCTACTTGGGGCTATTTTAGTGTTTTTTTTAAAATGACATGATATAGTCTTAAGTTCCTTCATGATGTCTAAGCCTACATTTAATTTTGAACCTGCTCCTGAATTAGCACTTTTATAATACTGAATGATTTTATTGAACTTGCTTTTTGTTCTGTTCTAGAACTTCCTCTTAAGACGGTGGCTAAAGCTTTAGAAGACAACAAGAAAATCCTTGCAAAAGTCACCCAAAATGTGTATTCTAAAGCGGCAAGCACGAAGCCTGAACAGACCCTAAAGACATCAAACATGGGCTCCCAAAGCAGGCCACCACATAATAAAGTTCAGACTAATTATAGGCAAAACCTAGCAGAGAAATCATCCAGACCCAGAAAACGACCTACTCTTCTAGAAATGGTAACTACAATTGTTCTGCCTTGCTTGTGATTGTGTATTGTTGATGTCTTAGAACAGTGATGGCGAACCTTTTTGAACCCGAGTGCCCAAACTGCGACGCAAAATCAATTTATTTACCTCAGTGCCAGCGCTGAAAATAAGTTTTGTATTGTATTGCAGTTCGGGCGCTCAGGCTTAAGAAACGTTCAACATCACTGCCTTAGGCAAAATAGGGAAACGCGCATATTCAAACATTTATACACTCAATAAAACACATACACACATAATGAAACGCACACATCACGCACTTATTAAAACACACACACAGAACTACTAATAAAAATCAATAATTAAAACATTGCCCCCAAGATTACACTCCTATGCTCTTTTACATTTTACTACTTTCATCACTTATGTCCAACATTTTTCCTTTATATGTTCAAGCACTGGGCAAGGATACACTTTAATGAATCCTCCCATTTGAAGTAAGGTTTGCCATCTGCAAACACTTCTGTTTTAACATTGATTTGTTGTATATTTGTACTGCAGAATTATAATGGGCTTTTTATTTTAAAAAAAAAACCTGTCCTGAGAAATATGAAAGCTGTAATTGCTGCCCTTCTGAAAATGCAAGTTGTCTGGCTGTCTCTGGCAGCTGTATTGAATCACGGACCAAGAACAAGCATGCAGCAAGTTAAGTCAAACACCCTATCTGCATACACATTTCTGGTCATTGACTAAGAAACAAAGTCATAGGATCAGCATGACGAGCAACTAGCGTTTTCAGAAGTGGAGATTAACAATTGCAGCCTATGAGTATCTCTCAATAAGTTTTCTTTAACTTTTGAGCCTTGTCATTAATTCTGGGTACAGGAATAGATGAGTTTGCCAAATAGTATGTGCTCGGGTTATTTATTTTATTTATTACAGGTATTTATATAGCGCCGACAATTTACGCAGCACTTTACCTAGTTGCACATTCACATCAGGTTTGACTTGGTCTAATGCAGGGGTGCCCATTAGGTCGATTGCGATCTACCAGTCGATCGCAAAGCGATCCCTGGTAGATCGCGATGTCCTGTCCTCCTGCCGTGGGGCTTCTCTGGATCCCCACTGCTCTCCCCCATCTGTATGCAGCGGGGATCTGAGGAGAAGTGAACAAAGCACTGCAGCTGGCGGCGGGTAGGCGGAGGATAGAGCCGCTATCACAGCAGCACACTGAGCGGTGAGTAGAGAGCCGCTCGGCCTGGATCTGACAGCCGGCGACTCTCTCTCTCTCCTCATCGCACATGCTGCTGTGACAGCGGCTCCCTCCCCCCTGAATGCAGGTGTTTTTTCGTTGGTAGATCTCATTAAGCTTGTCATTTGAAAAGTAGATCTCCGAACGAAAAATTGTGGGCGCCCCTGGTCGAATGTGTGTAAATTTTAGAGCCTGCAGAATCTTTCCTTTTCTCAGATATATAGAGCTATATATATCTAATAATAATATATAATATATGTATAGAGCAGCAGAGACGAAATACAACCAAGGAGCCAGTGGACACTGATGAAGTAAACCTGTCATGAACATGTTGCTTGTAATGAGTCACAAACGCAGAACAAGAAGACAGGAAATGAAAGTCAAAGAAAAGCCAGAATCCCTTATCTCTATACTTGCTCTGCACCAGGACCCAGTGTTGATGCCAAACAATAGGCATGATAACCAGGCAATTGCTATTTTTACAGGGGATGTCAAACAAAGGCAACCTCTGTATTATTCTCATAACAGATTTCTCTCATAACAGGAGCCAGACAATACTGACAACAAATGAGAAGAGTTTAAAAGGTTAGGCATTGGTAGAACTTGTTCTAAGTGCCCCAAAGTGCATTCACATTCAGACATCTATATGTATGCTGATATGGGTGGCTAAGGTGCAGCATTTGAGAAAACAGCGATGGAGAAGATACAGTAGCAAAATCCAGAAGAAAATAAGCAGTTGGGTAGAGAAAGCAGCTAGGACCTTAGTAAGTAGGGGCACCTGTGCAAGAACAAGACAGCCATGTGGATTGTAGACTGCAAAAGAATAGAGAGACACCATAGCAACAGGATGACAGGAATGAGGAATCTGCAAGAGTCAGGCATGCCTTGAAAGCTAAGACAACATCAGAATCCAAGTACTGTATCACTAATTTAACACAATTTTTAGAGTTAAGAATTTGACATTGGCAGAAGTGGTTTATTGCTCGCACTTGGACGCAGACAGTGTGCGTAGAAGTGCAGGCCCCTGGACCCACACAGATGTGCAGGTTCATGTATGCGTGTTACCGTGCATAATTGTGTGCAGCTGCATTCTCCCATAGGGAAGAACAGACTGCTGTGCGCAATTGCACGCAGCACCTGTCCCTTCCAGGATTGGGTCTTTTTACAGGCATGCATGCTCATCTGAATGAGCCCTAAGGGCTTGTTAACAGCATGTCTGTATCATGTCCAGACCAAAACAGTTTGTTCCCGGACCAAAAAAGCATCCCAATGTATCATTGTATTGATACATTGTATGGTATTTCTGGGCTCTGTTTACACCAGCGCAGTCTGTTCCGGTCCAGACAGAAAAAAATATTTCTTCCCTCATTTTCTCTGGTCTGGAATGCACCTAATCGCATGGAAACACACAAAAAAAAGTGTAAAACTGCAGTGCCTTTGCAGATCTGGTCCAGACATGGTGTGAACAATAGGCCTTAAAGTGGCCTATGGGCCAAGGAGTTTTTTGATCTATATAAATACACAGTACAAGAGTATACAGTATATGCAATACAGTACATGGGGTTCTTAAAGTGCAAATAAGTCAAATTAGCAGCAATCCAGAAGAATAAAGAAGCAACAATTCAAGTGAAGCAGATCTGATCGGACCGGAACACAGGCATTGATGTGTCGCGCGTTCCGGTGCAGGCGATCGCACTCCAGGTGGGGGACAGTGGTGCCATTGACTTCAATGCACCACCACGCCCCCCTTCCGCCCCAGAATGCAGTGAGCCGGCCTTGGATGTGACCCAATGCGTTCTGGCTCCGAATCATGCCGGATTGTGCCGTGGCTAGTGTGAACTAGTCCTCAGCGATCCAGCCCCATTTGCAATTGTGAATGGGGCCTTAGGGGTCTATTTGTTTTCACACAACATTTACCAAGGATTCATGCAGCACAGTTTGGATCTCTGTGATCAACACATGCGAGTCTTAGGATAATTGAATTTGATTGTAAAATGTGTGAATCCCGGGGTAAAGTTGTGTGAAACCCTTTCTAAATAAACCCTTTCCTTTTTTAGTATAAGGAGCTGCCCCTTCCTCCTTCACTGCCGAAGGATATGGCCACCCCTGTGTCATAGCGGTCATCTGTGTCTGCACTGACTTCTGTCACAGCTATAGTATGTACATACCTTCACCAGTTCTCACCCCTTTCCACCCCAATCTCTTTAGGCAAAACTGTCTGGTACATTCAGCATACACACTCTACATGTAGTTAGGTGAACCACTGAGGATAGGGGACCTGTTTGTGCTTAGTTCTGCCTCTTCCTGATGAATCAAACCCGGTGCTGTGCCAAAAGCCATTCAGAGTAAATGACCCAATTTTTCGCAATTGCTGTTAAATGACCTATAATCTCTTAGAAAAATGTTTCATATTTTTTTTTTCCCCTCTTGTCCCTCATATTTAGTGCTACAAGTTGCTTTAATTTGATTAACTTTTAATTTGATGAGCAAGTATTTATTTTTATATTTGCAGCTGCTGGCACGGGACATACGCCATGAGAGGAATGTGGTTTTACAATGTGTGAGGCACATCTGCCAAAACAACTTTTTTGACCAATCGCTGGCTGGCACTAAACATGTGATAAATGACCATTCTCCAAACACAGAGGATTTGGGAATTACAGAGACTAAAGATGATGACCTGAGAAATGGGCGAGGTGAACATACGGCTAAGGGGAAGCCGAGCCCAGGCCCATTCATGAGGCAATTACAACCTTTGGATGATGAAATCTGGGAGACAAATGTTAGCTGTATCGAGACATTTGCTGTTTAATTTATAGGATGCAACTTTTTTTTTTTTTTTCTGTGTTCTGTTTTTTTCTGTGTTCTGTTTTTATTTTTCCCAATTTCAAAAAAGGGCTCATGTTTATTTTGGCATGGTATGATGGCCTAGGGGGCGTATGAAAAAGTATTTTTAGCTTTGGTAAGTAAGCTCCTCTCACTGCTCTCAAAGTTCCAGTGTATCTTAAAGTAGAAAAGAACTCCAGCTTTGATTTATGATAAAATAAATCTATAATATATTTAATTTTTTATTTTCTGGCAGGGCCATGGGGATCCTGTAATACACTGTAGTAGCTACAGCTACTACAGTTTATTCTAGCGTTTTCTGGGTCCTGATACAGCCGCTATGCTGTGCAATTTCTCTGTGCTGTAGAATGGAATATATCAAAACTGCATCAGACAAAATCTGGAGCAGTTGCTTATAGCAACCAATCAGCTTCTCTCTTTCATTTAAAAAGCTTAACTGAAGAGAGAAGCTGATTGTTTACTATGGGCAACTGCTCCAGATTCTGTCTGCTCCAGTTTTGATAAATTCCCCCCAGAATCACTCAGCTGATAACCTCCATTCAGAGGACACCTGATATTTTTGTCACTGAATACTAGGCATTCTGTGATTGGACGAGGAACCCTGACATCACTTTCCCTCGTCCACTCGGCACAGTGGCACTAATGCATCGTAGTATCTGTATTACAGGATCCCTGTGGCCCTGCCAGGGATCATACATTATATTTGAATTGTACAAAGCTGTGTGTCTATATGCATGTGTATAACATACAGTGCATTCAGAAAGTATTCAGACTCCCCTTCACTTTTTTCAATTTTGTCATGTTGCAGCCTGATATTATAGTTTACATTTTTTTTTCAATCTACACTCATTCCCTCATAATGACAGAGTGAAAGCAGAATTTTAGAAATGTCTGGGAATTTATTAAAAATAAAAAAAACTGAAATATCCATGTCCTTAAGTATACTCCGTACTTTTGTTGAAGCACCTTTTGATGCGACATGCTTTGCATACTTGGATTGGGGGATTTTCTGCCATTTTTATTTGCAATTCCCCTCAAGCTCAGTCAAGTTGGATGGGGACTGTCGGAAAGCCATTTTCAGGTCTCTCCAGAGATGTTCAAGTCAGGGCTCTGGCTGGGCCACTCTAGGACATTCACAGATTTGTCATTTGGAAGGTGAACCTTTGGCCCAGTCTGAACTCCTGAGTGCTGTGGAACAGGTTTTGATGGAGGATATCTCTGTACATTGCTCCATTCAGCTTTCCCTCAACTCTGACCAGTCTCCCAGTCCCTGCTGCTGGAAAACACACCCACTGCATGATTCTGATAGCACCATGCTTCACTGTTGGCATGGTATTGGGCAGGTGATGAGCTGTGCCTGATTTCCTCCAGATATAACGTTTAGAATTGAGGCCAAGCAGTTCAATCTTGGTTTCATCAGACCAGAGAATCTTGTTCCTCACAGTCGGAGAATACTTAAGGTGCTGTTTTTTTTTTGCAAACTTCAACAGGAGAGGCTTCTGTCTAGCCACTCTGCCATAAAGGCCAGATCGGTGGTGGGCGGCAGTGATGGTTGTCCTTCTGTAACTTTGCCCCATCTCCACACAGGATCTCTGGAGCTCGGTCTGAGTGACCCATCGGGTTCTTGGTCACCTCTTGCTAAGGCCCTTTCACCCCCCGATTTGCTTCTTCCATTTTGGAATTATGCAGGCCACTGTGCTCTTGGGAACCTTCAGTGCCGCAGAACTGTTTTTGTAGCCTTCCCCAGATCTGTGCCTTGCAATAATCCTGTGTCTGAGCTCTGCAGGCAGTTCCTGTGACCTCATGACATTTGCTCTGATACAGTATGCATGGTTATCTGTGGGGCCTTCTATAGAGAGGTGTGTGACTTTCAAAATCATGTCCAATCAATTTAATTTACCACAGGTGGACTCCAAACAAGGTGTAGAAACATCTCAGCAACGATCAAGTGAAATGGGAGGCACCTAAGCTAAATTTCAAGTGTTGTTGCAAAGGGTCTGAATACTTATGCCGATTTGATATTTCAGTATTTTTGTTTTTCATACATTTGCCAAAAAAATCTAAAATTCTGTTTTCACGCTGTCATTATGGGGTACAGAGTGTAAATTAATGAGGGGAAAAAAATAATTTAAACTGCAGTATCAGGCTGCAACATAACAAAACTGAAAAAAGAGAAGGGGGTCTGAATACTTTCTGAATTTTTTGTGTACATTTTTTTTTTTTTTTTTTAAAGCTGGAGTTCTAACTTTTAGCTCCACTGATGGAGATGATCTTAAGAGCAACTTTGCTAGTGGATCTAAATGGAAGGATCAGACAGTGTTATTTTTATTCATAACACCGTGTCATCCACCAAAACATTTATTATTATAATAATAATAAATGTATAAACTGCTGTGATAAGAATCTATGGTGCAAGTGTTGGCATATCCAATATCTGTCTACTAGAATTACCCCATAAATATGTAAGAGAGTGAAGTGGCTCACCCTTTTCAAGTAAGACCAGCATTGTAGTTTAGAAGCTGAACTCCTAAAAAGGTGCACAGTATTAGAACTAATAAACAAGTGATTTTATAGTTTTTGTCTGTGTACTTTAGAATGTAATGCTCCAGAGTGGAGCACAAAATATGAAAAAAAATATAAGCAGCATCTTTTGCATGCTGTCATTTTCACTGCCAGGGTTTGCAGCAATCGGTGAAGCACATTGTCCGGTATAATAAACCTTTTTGTTTTGTTTATTAAAATGAAGAAAAAACTTCACTTGATGTGTGTTGCCTTTCTCTGTTTTAATATGGATTTAAATAGGGATGAGCTCAGGTTTGGACCCAACCAGGAAAGCGCTCCTCCCAAACATGGAAGGACGTTCCTTCTGTGCCACTCGGTCAGCTGCTGATGGGGAAACCCTCCCATGGGGGGGGGGCAGGAAATGCCTGGCCTGCAGCTGATGGGTGGAATTGCTCATGGCACTTCTTTTTTCAGAGGAGCTCGGGTTTGGACCAGGTTCAGTATGAGTATGAGCTCATCCTAGTTTTTAAAAAAAATTTGATTTTTAATTTTACCTTCAGCTTAAAACAAGCTCAAGATGAAAAGCAAAAAATGGTTTTAAAGTAGTGACGTGACATAGTAAGCTTTTGCTGAATGGAGAATGCTGGTTACCTTTTGACTTTTGTCTTCTGAAAAATACCACTTGCCTGACTGGCATGCAAGTCCATTTGCTTTGGGTGACCACCTAGAACAAATATATAAAGAGCTCAATCTTGTTGGTCACCTAAAGTACTGGAGTCGGAACTTTTTCACAGTTGGGGTGTCCTTTTAAAATCACCAGGTTCTTAACCTGCTTCCCTTACATTTGGAGTATAGCTATTGTGCAGTAAACAGTGTTACACCCTAATGTACTATGCGTACTCTATATCCTTGGTTCTCAACTGGTGGGTCGTGACCCAAAAGTGGGTCACAACCACATGTTCAGTGGGTCACCACATGCCTTTCACTTTTCTAGGTGAGAGCCTCCCCCTAGCACAGAACCGTCAGTTCTTGCGCAGAGCAGCCATTCAAAATGTGCTGCCCAGCCATGCTTGTCAGCTTGAGGTGGAGTGGGTTAGAAGTATGGCCAAAAGGGAGCTCCATCCATATGTGCATTGCTTACAGCTCACACATGTGCCCTGTAGAGGTGCCTGGAATGGACTGACATCACATTCTGGTTCCTGGTACCTCTACAGGGCGCACAAAGGAGCTGTACAAACAATGCACATATATATGGAGCTGAGGATGCACTCCAGTTCTCATGAGGTAGGGAGACTGGGTGGATCGTAAAAAAAAAAAAAAAGCGCGTATGTGTGTGAGAACGTCTGTGAGATTGTGTCCGTCTGTCAGTGTTTTTGAGGGTCTGTTCACACTAGTACAGTGTGGTAATCGCACAGTCCCGTGCAAATAATGCACTGCACCATGCAATCGCACCTACTGCATGTTGTGGTGTGGAAGTTGTGTTGCGTTTCCTTTCATTTGAATGACACCCTAAACGCACCTCCCTCACAGTCCGATAGCTTGCACCCGAACGCCCGGTACTGCAACGCCGTGCATTCCATTGCAGAGGTTACACAGGTGGAGAACCTCCTGCTCTATATCATGCTAAATGATGGCATAGCCTACGCTGCTCATAAACTATACAGTCTGATAGTACCATCACCTTTTAGATCTTCCATCAGCTATTTAGTTCTAGGGCCTGCTGGATTGATACAGATTTACTGGATAGTTTAGGTGTGTCCCCATAGTACAATTTTGTTTTTGTACTTCTAATAAAAAAAGTGACCTATTGAAAGTTGCATTGATTGTACAACCAGATTGTATAGCCAGAGGTGTTCCTAGCTTTTATGCTACCTGAGGCGAAGTGGGAAATAGCACCCCTGCCCCATGGCTGCTTGCCACTGTTATGCTACATGAATAGTGACTGCAGCTGATTAGCAAGAAGTATTTGGAAAAATTGGCTTTTGGTGAATGGAGGCTTGCTGGCAGGGCCATCCCTATAATGAGGAAACGTGATACTTTCGTCACAGGCACCACATCATACAGTCATGTGGGGAAGAGGGGGAGGGAGGAATCAGCAGAGTGGCATGTTGGCATTGCGCTATACCTGCCTCCTGCATTAGGCCTCATTCAGATTGGCATGCACATTCATCCAAGTGTGGGCACCCAGACCTGCCCGGATAAGCAGGTTAGGTACGTCCCATAGGGATGTACAGATGACTGCATTAGCCCGATTACTTGGATTCACTGCTTGGAGTCACAGATGACTTTAATATCTCCATTATTTATATATACAGCAGGGGTGTGGAATTTATCACCCAGTAGAAAGGCATCATGGCACACTCACAAAACCAGCATGTAAAACAACATGTCTCACCACTAAGGATAATGACAGAGGTTTGAAGACGTGTATCCAAACCTCTGTCATTATCCTTAGTGGTGAGACAAGTTGTTTTACATGCTGGTT